CACCCTATGGACCCCCTATAGCACCCTATGGACCCCCCATAGCACCCTATGGACTCCTATAGCACCCTATGGACTCCTATAGCACCCTATGGACCCCCTATAGCACCCTATGGACCCCCTATAGCACCCTATGGATCCCTATAGCACCCTATGGACCCCTATAGCACCCTATGGATCCCTATAGCACCCTATGGACCCCTATAGCACCCTATGGACCCCTATAGCACCCTATGGAGCCTCTATAGCAGCCTATGGAGCCCTATAGCACCCTATGGACTCCCTATAGCACCCTATGGACCCCCTATAGCACCCTATGGACCCCCTGTAGCACCCTATGGATCTCCTATAGCACCCTATGGATCCCTATAGCACTCTATGGATCCTATAGCACCCTATGGATCTCCTATAGCACCCTATGGATCCTCTATAGCACCCTATGGATTCTATAGCACCCTATGGACTCCTATAGCACCCTATGGACTCCTATAGCACCCTATGGACCCCCTATAGCACCCTATGGACCCCCTATAGCACCCTATGGATCCCTATAGCACCCTATGGAGCCCTATAGCCCCCCATATAGCCCCATAGCCCCCTATGTCCCTGCCCCATAGCCCCCTATGTAGCCCCATAGCCCCTATGTCCCTGCCCCATAGCCCCCCTATGTAGCCCCATAGCCCCCCCTATATAGCCCCATAGCCCCCCCATGTAGCCCCATAGCCCCCTAGCCCCCCTATGGCCCTGCCCCATAGCCCCCTCTGGAGCCCCATAGCCCCCCCTATATAGCCCCATAGCCCCCCCATGGCCCTGCCCCATAGCCCCCTCTGGAGCCCCATAGCCCCCTATGTAGCCCCATAGCCCCCAATGGCTGCCCCATAGCCCCCTATGCCTGCCCCATAGCCCCCTATGTAGCCCCATAGCCCCCTTATGGCCCTGCCCCATAGCCCCCTGTGGCCCTGCCCCATAGCCCCCTCTGGAGCCCCATAGCCCCCCTATATAGCCCCATAGCCCCCCCCCAGCCCTGCCCCATAGCTCCCTCTGGCCCTGCCCCATAGCCCCCTATGTAGCCCCATAGCCCCCCTTGGAGCCCCATAGCCCCCCCTATATAGCCCCATAGCCCCCCCCCATGGCCCTGCCCCATAGCCCACTATGTAGCCCCATAGCCCCCCCTCTGGAGCCCCATAGCCCCCCTATGGCCCTGCCCCATAGCCCCCTCTGGAGCCCCATAGCCCCCTATGTAGCCCCATAGCCACCTCTGGAGCCCCATAGCCCCCCCTATATAGCCCCATAGCCCCTCTTGGAGCCCCATAGCCCCCCCTATATAGCCCCATAGCCCCCCTTATGTATCCCCATAGCCCCCCCTGGCCCTGCCCCATAGCCCCCCCTATATAGCCCCATAGCCCCCCCTTATGTAGCCCCATAGCGCCCTATGTCCCTGCCCCATAGACCCCTATGTCCCTGCCCCATAGCCCCCTATGTAGCCCCATAGCCCCCCCATGGCCCTGCCCCATAGCGCCCTATGTCCCTGCCCCATAGCGCCCTATGTCCGTGCCCCATAGCCCCCCATGGCCCTGCCCCATAGCGCCCTATGTCCCTGCCCCATAGCCCCCCCCCAGCCCTGCCCCATAGCCCCCTGTGGCCCTGCCCCATAGCCCCCCTTATGTAGCCCCATAGCCCCCCCCAGCCCTGCCCCATAGCCCCCCGTGGCCCTGCCCCATAGCGCCCTATGTCCCTGCCCCATAGCCCCCCATGGCCCTGCCCCATAGCGCCCTATGTCCCTGCCCCATAGCCCCCCCCATGGCCCTGCCCCATAGCGCCCTATGTCCCTGCCCCATAGCGCCCTATGGCCCTGCCCCATAGCGCCCTATGGCCCTGCCCCATAGCCCCCCATGTCCCTGCCCCATAGCCCCCCATGGCCCTGCCCCATAGCGCCCCATGTCCCTGCCCCACTGCAGACTGGAACACGCTGATCGTGGGCAAGCTCTCGCCATGGATCCGCCCCGATTCCCCCCTGGAGCACGTGAGGAGGAACTCGGAGGGGGTGAGCGCGGTTTTGGGGTGAAAAAGGGGGATTTTGGGAAAAAACGGGGGGAAAAAGGGGGATTTTGGGAAAAAATGGGGTTTTGGGGTGAAAAAGGGGGATTTTGGGAAAAAATGGGGTTTTGGGGTGAAAAAGGGGGATTTTGGGAAAAAACGGGGGGAAAAAGGGGATTTTGGGAAAAATGGGGGGAAAAGGGGGATTTTGGGAAAAATGGGGGGTTTTGGGGTGAAAAAGGGGGATTTTGGGAAAAACGGGGGGGTTTTGGGGGGAAAAAGGGGGATTTTGGGAAAAAAAAGGGATTTTGGGGTGAAAAAGGGGGATTTTGGGAAAAAATGGGGGAAAAAGGGGGATTTTGGGAAAAAATGGGGGGAAAAAGGGGGATTTTGGGAAAAAATGGGGGGAAAAAGGGGGATTTTGGGAAAAAACGGGGGGTTTGGGGTGAAAAAGGGGGATTTTGGGAAAAAATGGGGGGAAAAAGGGGGATTTTGGGAAAAAATGGGGGAAAAAGGGGGATTTTGGGGAAAAAAAGGGGAAAAAGGGGGATTTTTGGGGTGAAAAAGCCATTTTTTGGGTGGACAAAGCCATTTTTGGGGTGAAAACGGTGGTTTTTGGGCTGAAAACGCCATTTTTGGGGTGAAAAACGCCATTTTTGGGGTGAAAACCACCGTTTTGGGGTTGAAAAACACCGTTTTTTGGGTGAAAAAATCCATTTTTGGTGTGAAAAAAGCCATTTTTGGTGAAAAAGCCATTTTTTTGGTGGACAAAGCCATTTTTGGGGTGAAAATGGCAGTTTTGGGGTGAAAACGGTGTTTTTGGGGGTGAAAACGGCGGTTTTTGGGGTGAAAAAGCCATTTTTGGGGTGGACAAAGCCATTTTTGGGGTGAAAACCACCGTTTTGGGGTTGAAAAACACCGTTTTTTGGGTGAAAAAATCCATTTTTGGTGTGAAAAAAGCCATTTTTGGTGAAAAAGCCATTTTTTTGGTGGACAAAGCCATTTTTGGGGTGAAAATGGCAGTTTTGGGGTGAAAACGGTGTTTTTGGGGGTGAAAACGGCGGTTTTTGGGGTGAAAAAGCCATTTTTGGGGTGAAAAATGCCATGTTTGGGGTGAAAACCGCCATTTTTGGTGTGAAAAAATCAGTTTTTGGGGTGAAAAAGGTGTTTTTTGGGGTGAAAACGGCGGGTTTTGGGGGTGAAAACAGCGGGTTTTTGGGGTGAAAACGGTGGTTTTTGGGGTGAAAAAAGCTGTTTTTGGGGTGAAAAACGCCGTTTTGGGGGTGAAAACGGCGGTTTTGGGGGTGAAAAAGCCATTTTTGGGGTGAAAACGGTGGTTTTGGGGGTGAAAACGGTGTTTTTTGGGGTGAAAAACGCCATTTTTGGGGTGAAAAAGCCATTTTTTGGGTGGACAGATCCATTTTTGTGGTGAAAAAAGCCATTTTTGGGGTGAAAACGGTGGTTTTGGGGGTGAAAAAAGCCATTTTTGGGGTGAAAACGGTGTTTTTGGGGGTGAAAAAAGCCGTTTTTTGGGTTAAAAACCCCGGTTTTGGGTTGAAAAAAGCTGTTTTTGGTGTGACAAAGCCATTTTTTGGGTGGACAGATCCATTTTTGGGGTGAAATTGGTGGTTTTTGGGGTGAAAACCGCTGTTTTTGGGGTGAGAACGGTGTTTTTTGGGGTGAAAAACGCCATTTTTGGGGTGAAAAAGCCATTTTTTGGGTGGACAAAGCCGTTTTTGGGGTGAAAACGGTGTTTTTTGGGGTGAAAAAGCCATTTTTGGGGTGAAAACGGTGTTTTTTGGGGTGAAAAATCCATTTTTTGGGTGGACAAATCCATTTTTGGGGTGAAAAAGCCATTTTTTGGGTGGAGAAAGCCGTTTTTGGGGTGAAAACGGTGTTTTTTGGGGTGAAAATGGTGGGTTTTGGGGTGAAAAAGCCATTTTTTGGGTGGACAAAGCCGTTTTTGGGGTGATAATAGTTGTTTTGGGGGTGAAAAACGCCATTTTTGGGGTGAAAAACGCCATTTTTGGGTGGACAAAGCCATTTTTGGGTTGAAAACTACCATTTTTGGTGTGAAAAACGCCATTTTTGGGGTGAAAAATCCATTTTTGGGGTGAAAAAAGCCATTTTTGGGTTGAAAACCACCATTTTTGGGGTGAAAACGGTGTTTTTTGGGTGGAAAACGCCATTTTTGGGGTGAAAACGGTGTTTTTTGGGGTGAAAAAGCCATTTTTTGGGTGAAAAAATCCATTTTTGGGGTGAAAACGGTGTTTTTTGGGGTGAAAAAGCCATTTTTTGGGTGGAGAAAGCCATTTTTGGGGTGAAAACGGTGTTTTTTGGGGTGAAAAAGCCATTTTTTGGGTGAAAAAAGCCATTTTTGGGGTGAAAACGGTGGTTTTTGGTGTGAAAACAGCCTTTTTGGGGTGAAAAAAGCCATTTTTGGGGTGAAAAATCCAATTTTGGGGTGAAAAACGCCATTTTTGGGGTGAAAACGGTGTTTTTTGGGGTGAAAAAGCCATTTTTTGGGTGGACAAATCCATTTTTGGGGTGAAAACGGTGTTTTTTGGGGTAAAAACGCCGTTTCTGGGTTGAAAAATGCCGTTTTGGGGGTGAAAAAAGCCGTTTTTTGGGTTAAAAACGCCGTTTTTGGGTTGAAAAATGCCGTTTTGGGGGTGAAAAAAGCCGTTTTTTGGGTTAAAAACGCCGTTTTTGGGGTGAAAACGGTGTTTTTTGGGGTGAAAAGCGGTGTTTTTGGGCGGTGTGCGCCAGGCCCTGAGCCAGGAGCTGGGTTTCGGCGCGTACCTGGGCCTGCCCGCGGTGCTGCTGCCCCTGCGCCAGCGCCACTGCCCCAACCTGGCCCGGCTGCTCTGCAGTCACCTGCACGGCGCCCAGCACAGCGCCATGGTGAGATATGGGGTGCTATGGGGCAGCTATGGGGCGGCTATGGGGCGGCTATGGGGCAATATGGGGCAATATGGGGCAATATGGGGGGCTATGGGTGCTTATGGGGCTCTATGGGGGGTTATGGGGTGGTTATGGTGAGATATGGGGTGCTATGGGGTGCTATGGGGGGGTATGGGGGGATATGGGGCAGCTATGGGGGGGATATGGGGGGCTATGGGGGGATATGGGGTGCTATGGGGGGGATATGGGGCGGCTATGGGGGGATATGGGGGGGTATGGGGGGGATATGGGGGGGTTTGGGGTGGTTATGGGGGGTTATGGGGTGCTATGGGGGGGTTATGGGGGGGTTATGGGGGGATATGGGGTGGTTATGGGGCTCTATGGGGGGATATGGGGGGGATATGGGGGGATATGGGGGGGTATGGGGGGGATATGGGGGGTTATGGGGGATATGGGGGGATATGGGGGGTTATGGGGGGGATATGGGGGGATATGGGGGGGATATGGGGGGGATATGGGGGGGATATGGGGGGGATATGGGGGGGATATGGGGGGGTATGGGGGGGTATGGGGGGGATATGGGGGGATATGGGGGGATATGGGGGGGGGGGGGATATGGGGGGGTATGGGGGGGATATGGGGGGATATGGGGTGGTTATGGGGGGATATGGGGGGATATGGGGGGATATGGGGTGGTTATGGGGAGATATGGGGGGGTTATGGGGTGGTTATGGGGTGATATGGGGGGGATATGGGGTGATATGGGGGGTGGGGGGATATGGGGGGGTTATGGGGGGGATATGGGGTGATATGGGGTGGTTATGGGGTGATATGGGGGGGATATGGGGTGGTTATGGGGTGATATGGGGTGGTTATGGGGGGGATATGGGGCGCTATAGGGCACTATGAGGGGGATATGGGGGGCTATGGGGGGGATATGGGGTGGTTATGGGGCTCTATGGGGGGGTATGGGGGGGATATGGGGGGGTTATGGGGGGATATGGGGGGGTATGGGGGGATATGGGGGGGATATGGGGGGGTTATGGGGGGATATGGGGGGGGGGTTTATGGGGGGATATGGGGGGGTTATGGGGGGATATGGGGGGGTTATGGGGGGATATGGGGGGGATATGGGGGGGTTATGGGGCTCTATGGGGGGCTATGGGGGGTTATGGGGTGCTATGGGGGGGTTATGGGGGGGTGGGGGGCTATGGGGGATATGGGGGTCTATGGGGGGATATGGGGGATATGGGGGGCTATGGGGGGGATATGGGGGCTATGGGGCGCTATGGGGGGTTTATGGGGGGGATATGGGGGGTTATGGGGTGGTTATGGGGGGGCTATGGGTGGCTGTGGGGGGTCAGTGGGGCTCAGTGGGGCTCAATGGGAGTCCAGTGGCGGTTACTGGTTCTAACTGGTCCCAACTGGTTTGAACTGGTCTGAACTAGTCCCAAACTGGTTCTAACTGGTTCTAACTGGTCTGAACTGGTTCGAACTGGTTCTAACTGGTCTGAACTGGTCTGAACTGGTTCTAAACTGGTTCTAACTGGTCCAAACTGGTTCTAACTGGTCCCAACTGGTCCCAAACTGGTCCGAACTGGTCCCAACTGGCCCCAAACTGGTTCTAACTGGTCCAAACTGGTTCCAAACTGGTTCTAACTGGTCCAAACTGGTTCCAAACTGGTTCTAACTGGTTTGAACTGGTTCTAACTGGTTCTAAACTGGTCCCAACTGGTTCCAAACTGGTTCTAACTGGTTCTAACTGGTTCTAAACTGGTTCTAACTGGTCCCAAACTGGTTCTAACTGGTCCGAACTGGTTCTAACTGGTTCTAAACTGGTTCTAACTGGTCCCAAACTGGTTCTTAACTGGTTCTAACTGGTCTGAACTGGTTCTAACTGGTTCTAACTGGTTCTAACTGGTCCCAAACTGGTTCTAACTGGTCCCAAACTGGTTCTAACTGGTTCTAACTGGTTCTAACTGGTTCCAAACTGGTTCCAACTGGTTCCAAACTGGTTCTAAACTGGTTCTAACTGGTTCCAAACTGGTTCTAACTGGTCCGAACTGGTTCCAAACTGGTTCTAACTGGTTCTAACTGGTTTGAACTGGTTCTAACTGGTTCTAAACTGGTTCTAACTGGTTCCAAACTGGTTCTAACTGGTTCTAAACTGGTCCAAACTGGTTCTAACTGGTCCGAACTGGTTCTAACTGGTTCCAAACTGGTTCTAAACTGGTTCTAAACTGGTCCAAACTGGTTCTAACTGGTCCCAAACTGGTTCTAACTGGTTCTAACTGGTTCTAAACTGGTCTGAACTGGTTCCAAACTGGTTCTAACTGGTTCTAACTGGTCCCAAACTGGTTTTAATTGGTCCGAACTGGTCCCAAACTGGTTCTAACTGGTCCGAACTGGTTCTAACTGGTCCAAACTGGTCCCAAACTGGTTCTAACTGGTCCGAACTGGTCCGAACTGGTCCGGCGCAGGTGTGGGTGCAGGTTCCCCTCGTGGCCCCCGAGGCCGAGCGCGAGGACCTGGTGGGCAACGAGGAACCGGAGCGCGGCGGGGACGAGACCACGTGGGGCTGGTCGGTTCTTACTGGTTTATACTGGTTTATACTGGTTTATACTGGTTTATACTGGTTTGGGCCCTTTAGGGCTTTTGGGGTGGTTTTGGTTCATTTTGGGGGGTTTTGGGGCCATTTTGGGGTGGTTGGTTCATACTGGTTTATACTGGTTTATACTGGTTTATACTGGTTTGGGCCCTTTAGGGCTTTTGGGGTGGTTTTGGTTCATTTTGGGGTGGTTTGGGGGCATTTTGGGGGGTTTTGGGGCCATTTTGGGGTGGTCAGTTCATACTGGTTTGTACTGGTTTATACTGGTTTATACTGGTTTATACTGGTTTATACTGGTTTATACTGGTTTGAGCCCTTTAGGGCTTTTGGGGTGGTTTTGGTTCATTTTGGGGTGGTTTGGGGGCATTTTGGGGCGTTTTGGGGCCATTTTGGGGGTGTCGGTTCTTACTGGTTTATACTGGTTTATACTGGTTTATACTGGTTTATACTGGTTTATACTGGTTTATACTGGTGTGGGCCCTTTGGGGCATTTTGGGGTGGTTTTGGTTCATTTTGGGGTGGTTTGGGGGCATTTTGGGGTGGTTTGGGGCCATTTTGGGGTGGTTGGTTCATACTGGTTTATACTGGTTTATACTGGTTTATACTGGTTTGGGCCCTTTAGGGCTTTTGGGGTGGTTTTGGTTCATTTTGGGGTGGTTTGGGGGCATTTTGGGGTGGTTTGGGGCCATTTTGGGGTGGTACTGGTTCATACTGGTTTATACTGGTTTATACTGGTTTATACTGGTTTATACTGGTGTGGGCCCTTTAGGGCTTTTGGGGTGGTTTTGGTTCATTTTGGGGTGGTTTGGGGGCATTTTGGGGGGTTTTGGGCCATTTTGGGGGGTTTTGGGGTCATTTTTGGGTGTTTTGGGGCCATTTTGGGGTGGTTTTGGGCCATTTTGGGTGGATTAGGGTCATTTTTGGGTGTTTTTGGTCCATTTTTGGGTGTTTTTGGTCCATTTTGGGTGATTTGGGGCCATTTTGGGGTAGTTTTGGACCATTTTTGGGTGTTTTGGGGCCATTTTGGGGTGATTTGGTCCATTCTGGGGTGATTTGGGGTCATTTTTGGGTGTTTTGGGGTCATTTTGGGGTGGTTTTGGTCCATTTTGGGGCAGTTTGGGGCCATTTTGGGGTTTTTTTGGTCCATTTTAGGGTGGTTTTGGGCCATTTTTGGGGTGGTTTTGGTCCATTTTTGGGTGGTTTTGGTCCATTTTGGGTGTTTTTGGTCCATTTTGGGGTGGTTTTGGTCCATTTTTGGGTGGTTTTGGTCCATTTTTGGGTGGTTTTGGTCCATTTGGGGTGGTTTTGGGTCATTTTTGGGTGATTTCGATCCATTTTGGGGTGATTTAGGGCATTTTGGGGCGGTTTTGGGGCCATTTTGGGTGTTTTTGGGTCCATTTGGGATGGTTTTGTTCCATTTTGGGGTGGTTTTGGTCCATTTTTTGGTGTTTTGGGCCATTTTTGGGTGGTTTTGGGCCATTTTTGGGTGGTTTTGGTCCATTTTTGGGTGGTTTTGGTCCATTTTTTGGTGTTTTGGGCCATTTTTGGGTGGTTTTGGTCCATTTTGGGTGATTTTGGGCCATTTTTGGGTGGTTTTGGTCCATTTTTGGGTGGTTTTGGTCCATTTTTGGGTGGTTTTGGTCCATTTGGGGTGGTTTTGGGTCATTTTTGGGTGATTTCGATCCATTTTGGGGTGATTTAGGGCATTTTGGGGCGGTTTTGGGGCCATTTTGGGTGTTTTTGGGTCCATTTGGGATGGTTTTGTTCCATTTTGGGGTGGTTTTGGTCCATTTTTTGGTGTTTTGGTCCATTTTGGGTGGTTTTGGTCCATTTTGGGGTGTTTTGGGTCCATTTTTGGGTGTTTTTGGCCCATTTTTTGGTGTTTTTAGTCCATTTTGGGGTGATTTTGGTCCATTTTGGGGTCCCCGTTGCTGTCCCCATAGGTGGCACGACTTCCGCACCCTCTGTGACTACAACAAGCGGGTGGGGGTCGGTGAGTTGGGGGCGTGGCCAAGGCCGAAGGGGGCGTGGCCAAAGCCGGGGGAGGTTCCCACCACAAAGGGGGCGTGTCATCAGACCCCATTGATAACACAGGGCCCCCATTGATAACACAGGGACCCCATTGATACCCCCCTGCCCCATTGATACCCGCCTGCCCCATTGACACCACCCCATTCCCCATACCCCAGCCCCATAGCGACCCCCCCATACCCCAGCCCCATAGCAACCCCCCCCATCATTCCTATCCCCCACTCTGCCCCATACCCCAGCCCCATAGCGTCCCCCCCATACCCCAGCCCCATAGCGACCCCCTGATTCCCCATCCCCCAGCCCCATAGCGACCCCCCCCATTCCCCAGCCCCATAGCGACCCCCCATACCCCATCCCCATAGCGACCACCCCATCCCCCAGCCCCATAGCGACCCCCCGATACCCCAGCCCCATCGCGACCCCCCCATACCCCAGCCCCATAGCGACCCCCCCATCCCCCAGCCCCATAGCGACCCCCCAGCCCCATAGCGAGCCCCCCATCCCCCAGCCCCATAGCGACCCCCCTCTGCCCCATACCCCAGCCCCATAGCGAACCCCCAGCCCCATAGCGACCCCCCCTGCCTCATCCCCCAGCCCCATAGCGACCCCCCCTACCCCTGCCCCATAGCGAGCCCCCCCCATTCCCCATACCCCAGCCCCATACCCCAGCCCCATCCCCCAGCCCCATAGCGACCCCCCCCTTCCCCATACCCCAGCCCCATAGCGCCCCCCTCTCATTCCCTCTGCCCCATAGCGACCCCCCCATCCCCCAGCCCCATAGCGACCCCCCCATTCCCCATACCCCAGCCCCATAGCGACCCCCCCTGATTCCTATCCCCCCCTGCCCCATAGCGACCCCCCTTAACCCCCCCATTCCCCATACCCCAGCCCCATAGCGACCCCCCCATCCCCCAGCCCCATAGCGACCCCCCCGCCCCATCCCCCAGCCCCATAGCGACCCCCCTCTGCCCCATCCCCCAGCCCCATAGCGACCCCCCCCTTCCCCATCCCCCAGCCCCATAGCGACCCCCCAGCCCCATAGCGACCCCCCCTGCCCCATACCCCAGCCCCATAGCGACCCCCCCATACCCCAGCCCCATAGCGACCCCCCATACCCCAGCCCCATAGCAACCCCCCCATCATTCCTATCCCCCCCTCTGCCCCATACCCCAGCCCCATAGCGACCCCCCCTCATTCCTATCCCCCCTCTGCCCCATAGCGACCCCCCCATTCCCCATACCCCAGCCCCATAGCGACCCCCCCAGCCCCATAGCGAACCCCCCAGCCCCATAGCGAACCCCCCAGCCCCATAGCGCCCCCCCCATCCCCCCAGCCCCATATCGCGACCCCCCAGCCCCATAGCGACCCCCCAGCCCCATAGCGACCCCCCAGCCCCATAGCGACCCCCAGCCCCATAGCGACCCCCCCTCTGCCCCATTGCGCAGCCCTGGAGGTGGGTCCGGACCTGCCGTCGGGCGCCGCCGTGGAGCGGTGGTTGGGGGAGCCGCTGAAGGCCGCGCTGCTCCCCACCAGCCTCTTCCTCACCAACAAGAAGGGCTTCCCCGTGCTCTCCAGGCCACACCAGCGCCTGCTCGCACGGCTCCTCAAGGTGGATGTGGGGCAGAGATGTGTGGGGCAGAGATGGGGGGTGGGGATGTGGGGGGTGGGGATGTGGGGTGGAGATGGGGGTGGGGATGTGGGGTGGGGATGTGTGGGGCAGAGATAGGGGGTGGGGATGTGGGGTGGGGATGTGTGGGGCAGAGATAGGGGGTGGGGATGTGGGGTGGGGATGTGTGGGGCAGAGATATGGGGTGGGGATGTGGGGTGGGGATGTGGGGCGGGGATGTGTGGGGCAGGGATATGGGGTGGAGATATGGGGCGGGGATGTGAGGGCCAGGGATATGGGGTGGAGATATGGGGCAGTGATGGGGACGAAGATTGGGGTGGGGATGTGTGGGGCAGAGATAGGGGGTGGGGATGTGTGGGGCGGGGATGTGGGGCAGAGATACGGGGGGTGGGGATGTGGGGCAGAGATATGGGGCAGAGATGTGGGGTGGGGATGTGGGGCGGAGATGTGGGGTGGGGATGTGTGGGGCAGGATGGGGATGTGTGGGGCAGAGATGTGTGGGGCAGAGATGTGGGGCAGAGATATGGGGCGGAGATATGGGGCAGAGATGTGGGGCAAGGATATGGGGCAGAGATAGGGGGGGTGGGGGGCAGAGATGTGGGGCGGAGATGGGGGGCAGAGATGGGGGGTGGAGATGTGGGGTGGGGATGTGGGGTGGGGATGGGGGGTGGGGATGTGGGGCGGAGATGGGGGGTGGGGATGTGGGGCGGAGATGGGGGGCAGAGATATGGGGCGGAGATATGGGGTGGAGATGGGGGGTGGGGATGTGGGGTGGGGATGGGGGGCAGAGATGCGGGGGGTTGGGACGTATGGGGTTGTATGTGGAGGGGGTCTGGGGGGTGTCTATGGGGTGTCTATAGGTCTCTATGGGGTGTCTTTGGGGCTCTCTGGGCTCTATGGGGGCTCTATGGGGCTCTGTGGGGTGTCTATATGGCTCTGTGGGGTTTCTATGGGGGTCTATGGGGTGTCTATGGGGCTCTGTGGGGTCTCTGTAGGGCTCTATGGGGTGTCTATGGGGCTCTATGGGGTGTCTATGGGGCTCTGTAGGGCTCTATGGGGTGTCTGTGGGTCTCTATGGGGTCTCTATGGGTCTCTATGGATCCCTATGGGTCTCTATGGGGTCTCTATGGGTCTCTATGGGTCCCTATGGGTCCCTATGGGTCTCTATGGGGTCTCTATGGGTCTCTATGTGTCTCTATGTGTCTCTATGGGTCTCTATGTGTCTCTATGGGTCTCTATGGGTCCCTATGGGTCTCTATGTGTCTCTATGGGTCTCTATGGGTCCCTATGGGTCTCTATGGGTCCCTATGGGTCTCTATGGGTCTCTATGGGTCTCTATGGGTCCCTATGGGTCTCTATGTGTCTCTATGGGTCTCTATGGGTCTCTATGGATCTCTATGGGTCTCTATGTGTCTCTATGGGGTCTCTATGGGTCTCTATGGGTCCCTATGGGTCTCTATGTGTCTCTATGGGTCTCTATGGGTCTCTATGGGTCTCTATGTGTCTCTATGGGTCTCTATGGGTCTCTATGGGTCTCTATGGGTCCCTATGGGTCTCTATGGGTCTCTATGGGTCTCTATGCATCCCCATGGGACCCCCACGTGATCTCTCCATCCCGCCCCCCAAGTTGGAGGTTCAGGTGGTGCTGACGGGCGCCCCCCGCCATGGGGGGAAGCCCCTGGCCTCCTACCTGCAGTACCTGGAACATGTGGGGCAGCACCGGCCCCCCCCATCGGCCTACGAGCTCTTCGCTAGGGGCTACGAGGATTACCTACAGAGCCCCCTGCAGGTGCTGTGGGGCTGGGCCGCTGTGGGGCTGGGCCGCTGTGGGGCTGGGAATGGGGTTCTATGGGGCTGGGAATGGGGTTCTATGGGGCTGGGCCGCTATGGGGCTGGGAATGGGGTTCTATGGGGCTGGGCCGCTATGGGGCTGGGGATGGGGGTCTATGGGGCTGGGAATGGGGTTTGTGATGGTTGGAAGGGGGTTCTATGGGGCTGGATGTGGGGAGGGGGGCTCTGTGGGGCTGGGAATGGGGTTCTATGGGGCTCAGAATGGGGTTCTATGGGGCTGGGAATGGGGTTTGTGGGGTTTGGAATGGGCTCTGTGGGGTTCAGAATGGGGTTCTATGGGGTGGGAATGGGGTTCTATGGGGCTGGGAATGGGGTTCTATGGGGCTGGGAGTGGGGTTCTATGGGGCTGGGTATGGGGTTCTATGGGGCTGGGAATGGGGTTCTATGGGGCTGGGAATGGGGTTCTATGGGGCTGGGAATGGGGTCTGTGGGGCTGGGAATGGGGTTCTATGGGGCTGGGAATGGGGTTCTATGGGGCTGGGAATGGGGGTCTATGGGGCTGGGAATGGGGTTCTATGGGGCTGGGAATGGGGTCTATGGGGCTGGGAATCTATGGGGCTGGGAATGGGGTCTATGGGGCTGGGAATGGGGTTCTATGGGGCTGGGAATGGGGGTCTGTGGGGCTGGGAATGGGGTTCTATGGGACTGGGAATGGGGTTCTATGGGGCTGGGCCGCTATGGGGCTGGGCCGCTATGGGGCTGGGAATGGGGTTCTGTGGGGCTGGGAATGGGGTTCTATGGGGCTGGGGAGGGCGAGGGTTCTATGGGGCGTGGGGGGGGGCACGGCCGCGAGGGGGCTGGGAAGGGGGTTCTATGGGGCTGGGAAGGGGGGTGGCTATGGGAATGGGGTTCTATGGGGCTGGGAATGGGGTCTGTGGGGTTTGGAATGGGGTCTATGGGGCTGGGTATGGGGGTGGGTTCTATGGGGCTGGGCCGCTATGGGGCTGGGAATGGGGTTCTATGGGGCTGGGCCACTATGGGGCTGGGTATGGGGTTCTATGGGGCTGGGAATGGGGTTCTATGGGGCTGGGAATGGGGTCTGTGGGGCTGGGAATGGGGTTCTATGGGGCAGGGCCGCTGTGGGGCTGGGAATGGGGTTCTATGGGGCTGGGCCGCTATGGGGCTGGGCCGCTGTGGGGCTGGGAATGGGGCTCTATGGGGCTGGGGATGGGGGTCTGTGGGGCTGGGAATGGGGTTCTATGGGGCTGGGCCGCTATGGGGCTGGGGATGGGGTTCTATGGGGCTGGGAATGGGGGTCTATGGGGCTGGGAATGGGGTTCTATGGGGCTGGGAATGGGGGTCTATGGGGCTGGGCTGCTATGGGGCTGGGTATGGGGGGGGTTCTATGGGGCTGGGAATGGGGTTCTATGGGGCTGGGCCGCTATGGGGCTGGGAATGGGGGTCTGTGGGGCTGGGAATGGGGTTCTATGGGGCTGGGCCGCTATGGGGCTGGGCCGCTATGGGGCTGGGAATGGGGTTCTATGGGGCTGGGAATGGGGTCTATGGGGCTGGGAATGGGGGTCTGTGGGGCTGGGGATGGGGGGGAGGGTTTTATGGGGCTGGGGGGGGGCAGGGCCGCTATGGGGCTGGGAATGGGGGTGGGTTCTATGGGGCTGGGAATGGGGGTGGGTTCTGTGGGGCTGGGAATGGGGTTCTATGGGGCTGGGCCGCTATGGGGCTGGGAATGGGGGTCTGTGGGGCTGGGAATGGGGTTCTATGGGGCTGGGAATGGGGTCCTATGGGGCTCAGAATGGGGTCTGTGGGGTTTGGAAGGGGGTTCTATGGGGCTGGGAATGGGGGTCTGTGGGGCAGGGCCGCTATGGGGCTGGGAATGGGGTCTATGGGGCTGGGACTGAGTATGGGGTTCTATGGGGCTGGGCCGCTGTGGGGCTGGGAATGGGGTTCTATGGGGCTGGGAATGGGGTCTATGGGGCTGGGAATGGGGTCTATGGGGCTGGGAATGGGGTTCTGTGGGGCTGAGAATGGGGCTGGGAATGGGGTTCTATGGGGCTGGGAATGGGGTCTATGGGGCTGGGAATGGGGCCTATGGGGTTGGAGGGTTCCTATGGGGGTAAATGGGGAGTGGAAGGGGGCGTGGCCTGCCCATATATGGGGTTAGATGGGTTCTAGGGGGCGGGGAAAGGGGGCGTGGCCTGCCCATATATGGGGTTAAATGGGTTCTAGGGGGGGCGTGGCCTGCCCATATAGGGTTAAATGGATTATATGGGGTGGGGGAAAGGGGGCGTGGCCTGCCCATATATGGGGTTAAATGGATTCTATGGGGCGGGGCAAACGGGGGCTGGGCCTGCCCATATATGGAGTCAAATGGGTCCTATGGGGAGTGGAAGGGGTCGTGGCCTGCCCATATATGGGGTTAAATGGGTTCTAGGGGGCGGGGGAAAGGGGGCGTGGCCTGTCCATATATGGGGTTAAATGAGTTCTAGGGGGGAAGGAGGCGTGGCCTGCCCATATATGGGGTTAAATGGGTCCTATGGGGCTGGGAAGGGGGGCGTGGCCTGCCCATATATGGGGTTAAATGAGTTCTATGGGGGGAAGGAGGCGTGGCCTGCCCATATATGGAGTCAAATGGGTCCTATGGGGCTGGGAAGGGGGCGTGGCCTGCCCATATATGGGGCTCACAGGCCACGCCCCCCCCTCCTCTCCCCATAGCCCCTTATGGACAACCTGGAGTCGCAGACCTATGAGGTGTTCGAGAAGGATCCAATCAAATACTCCCAATACCAGCAGGTGGGCGGGGCCGAGGCCTCCCATTGGCTGCTCTCCCGCGCCTCATTAGCATAACCACGCCCCCCCCCCCTTTTTTCTTCCTTATAAGGCGATATATAGGTGTCTGCTCGACCGGGTGCCTGAGGAGGAGAAGGACACCAATGTGCAGTGAGTGCTATGGGGCGCGCTATGGGGCGCCCCACATCGCTATGGGGCACCCCACATCCCTATGGGGCAGCCCTGCAGCCCACTTATGGGTCCCTATGGGGTGCCCCACATCCCTATGGGGCACCCCACATCACTATGGGGCGCCCCACATCCCTATGGGGCACCCCACATCACTATGGGGCACCCCACATCCCTATGGGGCACCCCTGCACCCCACTTATGGGTCCCTATGGGGTGCCCCACATCCCTATGGGGCGCCCCACATCCCTATGGGGCACCCCTGCACCCCACTTATGGGTCCCTATGGGGTGCCCCACATCCCTATGGGGCACCCCACATCCCTATGGGGCACCCCACATCCCTATGGGGCACCCCTGCACCCCACTTATGGGTCCCTATGGGGCGCCCCACATCCCTATGGGGCACCCCACATCCCTATGGGGCACCCCACATCCCTATGGGGCGCCCCACATCCCTATGGGGCGCCCCACATCCCTATGGGGCACCCCTGCACCCCACTTATGGGTCCTTAGGGGTCCCCGTACACCACCTGTGGGGTGCCCCACATCGCTATGGGGCACCCCTGCAACCCACTTATGGGTCCCTATGGGGTGCCCCACATCCCTATGGGGCACCCCTGCACCCCACTTATGGGTCCCTATGGGGTGCCCCACATCCCTATGGGGCGCCCCACATCCCTATGGGGTGCCCCACATCCCTATGGGGCACCCCTGCACCCCACTTACGGGTCCTTAGGGGTCCCCGTACACCACCTGTGGGGTGCCCCACATCGCTATGGGGCACCCCTGCAACCCACTTATGGGTCCCTATGGGGCGCCCCACATCCCTATGGGGTGCCCCACATCGCTATGGGGCGCCCCACATCCCTATGGGGCACCCCTGCAACCCACTTATGGGTCCCTATGGGGTTCCCCACATCCCTATGGGGCACCCCACATCACTATGGGGCACCCCACATCCCTATGGGGCACCCCTGCAACCCACTTATGGGTCCCTATGGGGTGCCCCACATCCCTATGGGGCACCCCACATTCCTATGGGGCACCCCACATCCCTATGGGGCACCCCTGCACCCCACTGATGGGTCCCTATGGGGTGCCCCACATCACTATGGGGCACCCCACATCCCTATGGGGTGCCCCACATCACTATGGGGCACCCCACATCCCTATGGGGCACCCCTGCACCTCACTTATGGGTCCTTAGGGGTCCCCATACACCATCTGTGGGGTGCCCCACATCACTATGGGTCCCCCTACCCCACTTATGGGTCCCTATGGGGCGCCCCACATCCCTATGGGGCACCCCTGCACCCCACTTATGGGTCCCTATGGGGTGCCCCACATCCCTATGGGGCACCCCTGCAACCCACTTATGGGTCCCTATGGGGTGCCCCACATCCCTATGGGGCACCCCTGCAACCCACTTATGGGTCTCTATGGGGTGCCCCACATCCCTATGGGGCGCCCCACATCCCTATGGGGCACCCCTGCACCCCACTTATGGGTCCCTATGGGGTGCCCCACATCCCTATGGGGCACCCCTGCAACCCACTTATGGGTCCCTATGGGTCCCCCAACCCCACTTATGGGTCCCTATGGGTCCCCCAACCCCACTTATGGGTCCATATACCCCACTTATGGGTCCCTATGGGTCCCCCTACCCCACTTATGGGTCCCTATGAGTCCCCCTACCCCACTTATGGGTCCCTATGAGTCCCCTCTACACCACTTATGGGTCCCTATGGGTACTCCCTACCCAACTTATGGGTCCCTCTACCCCACTTATGGGTCCCTCTACCCCACTTATGGGTTCCTATGGGTCCCCCTGCCCCACTTATGGGTCCCTATGGGTCCCTCTACCCCACTTATGGGTCCCTATGGGTCCCTCTACCCCACTTATGGGTCCATATACCCCACTTATGGGTCCCTATGGGTCCCCCTACCCCACTTATGGGTCCCTATGGGTCCCCTCTACCCCACTTATGGGTCCCTATGAGTCCCTCTACCCCACTTACGGGTCCCTCTACCCCACTTATGGGTCCATATACCCCACTTATGGGTCCCTATGAGTCCCCTCTACCCCACTTATGGGTCCCTATGGGTCCCCCTACCCCACTTATGGGTCCCTATGGGTCCCCCTACCCCACTTATGGGTCCCTATGGGTCCCCCTCTACCCCACTTATGGGTCCCTACCTCCGAGCTTCCCGCCAGGTAGACACCCCATAGCCGCCCCATATCACCCCATAGACACCCCATAGACTGCCCCATAGCCCTGCCCCATAGCGCTGCCCCATAGAAACCCCATAGAGCTCCATAGACACCTCATAGCCCCCTGTAGACACTCCATAGACCCCCATAGACACCCCATAGACCCCCATAGCCACCCCATATCCCCCCCATAGACCCCCATAGACACCCCATAGACCCCCATAGACACCCCATAGACACCCCATAGACCCCCATAGACACCCCATAGACACCCCATAGACCCCCATAGACACCCCATAGACCCCCATAGACCCCCATAGACACCCCATAGACCCCCATAGACACCCCATAGACCCCCATAGACACCCCATAGACACCCCATAGACCCCCATAGACACCCCATAGACACCCCATAGACACCCCATAGACACCCCATAGACACCCCATAGACGCCCCATAGACACCCCTTGGTGCCCCATAGACACCCTATAGCACCCCATAGACCCCAATAGCACCCCATAGCACCCCATAGACACCCCATAGCGCCCCATAGATACCCCATAGCACCCCATAGACACCCCATAGACCCCCCATAGACACCCCATAGACCCCATAGACCCCCATAGACCCCCATAGACACCCCATAGACCCCCCATAGACCCCCATAGACACCCCATAGACACCCCATAGACCCCCATAGACACCCCATAGACACCCCATAGATAGACCCCCATAGACACCCCCCAGACCCCCATAGACCCCATAGACACCCCATAGACACCCCATAGACACCCCATAGACACCCCATAGCCCCCCATACCCCCCTATACCCCCCCCCCCATAGACCCCTATAGACCCCCATAGACACCCCATAGCACCCCATAGACACCCCATAGACACCCCATAGCCCCCCATAGACACCCCATAGACCCCCATAGACACCCCATAGACACCCCATAGACACCCCATAGACACCCCCATAGAGCCCCATAGACCCCCATAGCCCCCCATAGACACCCCATAGACCCCCATAGACACCCCATAGAGCCCCATAAACACCCCATAGACACCCCATAGACCCCCATAGACACCCCATAGACACCCCATAGACCCCCATAGACACCCCATAGACACCCCATAGCACCCCATAGACACCCCATAGATCCCCATAGACACCCATAGCACCCCATAGACACCCCATAGACACCCCATAGACACCCCATAGCACCCCATAGACACCCCATAGACACCCTATAGCACCCTATAGCACCCCTTAGACACCCCATAGACACCCTATAGCACCCCATAGCACCCCATAGACACCCCATAGACACCCCATAGACACCCCATAGACACCCCATAGACCCCATAGACACCCCATAGACACCCCATAGACACCCCATAGACCCCCATATGACACCCCATAGACACCCCATAGACCCCACCCCATAGACACCCCATAGACACCCCATAGCACCCCATAGACACCCCATAGACACCCCATAGACACCCCATAGACACCCCATAGCACCCCATAGACACCCCATAGACACCCCATAGACACCCCATAGACACCCCATAGACACCCCATAGACACCCCATAGACACCCCATAGACACCCCATAGACCCCCATAGACACCCCATAGACACCCCATAGACACCCCATAGACCCCCATAGACACCCCATAGACCCCCATAGACCCCCATAGACCCCCATAGACACCCCATAGACACCCCATAGACCCCCATAGACACCCCATAGACCCCCATAGACACCCCATAGACACCCCATAGACACCCCATAGACACCCCATAGACACCCCATAGACCCCCATAGACACCCCATAGACACCCCATAGACCCCCATAGACCCCCATAGACACCCCATAGACACCCCATAGACCCCCCATAGACACCCCATAGACACCCATAGACACCCCATAGACACCCCATAGACACCCCATAGACCCCCATAGACACCCCATAGACCCCCATAGACACCCCATAGACCCCCATAGACACCCCATAGACACCCCATAGACCCCCATAGACACCCCATAGCCACCCCATAGACACCCCATAGCCGCCCCATAGCCCCCCATAGCCACCCATAGACACCCCATAGACACCCCATAGACCCCCATAGACCCCATAGACCCCCATAGACCCCCATAGACACCCCATAGACACCCCATAGACACCCCATAGACCCCCATAGACACCCCATAGCACCCCATAGACACCCCATAGACACCCCCATAGACACCCCATAGACACCCCATAGACACCCCATAGACACCCCATAGACACCCCATAGACCCCCATAGACACCCCATAGCCGCCCCATAGCCGCCCCATAGCCGCCCCATAGCGTGACCTCGCGCGGCGGCGCGCAGCATGGCGGCCAGGCGCTGGAAGAGGCGGCTGCGGGCTCCCCATAGACACCCCATAGACCCCCATAGACACCCCATAGACACCCCATAGACCCCCATAGACACCCCATAGACACCCCATAGACACCCCATAGACACCCCATAGACACCCCATAGACACCCATAGACACCCCATAGACACCCCATAGACACCCCATAGACACCCCATAGACACCCCATAGACACCCCATAGACCCCCATAGACACCCCATAGACACCCCATAGACCCCCATAGACACCCCATAGACACCCCATAGACACCCCATAGACCCCCACAGACACCCATAGACACCCCATAGAACCCCATAGAACCCCATAGACCCCCATAGACACCCCATAGACACCCCATAGACACCCCATAGACCCCCATAGGAAGCCCATAGACCCCCACAGACACCCCATAGACCTCCATAGACACCCCATAGATCCCTATAGGGACCCCACAGACACCTCATAAAACCCCATAGACACCCATAGACACCCCATAGACCCCCATAGACACCCCATAGACCCCCATAGACACCCCATAGACACCCCATAGACCCCCATAGACCCCCATAGACACCCCATAGACACCCCATAGACACCCCATAGACACCCCATAGACACCCCATAGACCCCCATAGACACCCCATAGACCCCCCATAGACACCCCATAGACCCCCATAGACACCCCATAGACCCCCATAGACACCCCATAGACACCCCATAGACACCCCATAGACACCCCATAGACACCCCATAGACCCCCATAGACACCCCATAGCACCCCATAGACACCCCATAGACACCCCATAGACACCCCATACACCCCATAGACACCCCATAGACCCCCATAGACACCCCATAGACCCCCATAGACACCCCATAGACACCCCATAGACACCCCATAGACACCCCATAGACACCCCATAGACACCCCATAGACACCCCATAGACCCCCATAGACACCCCATAGACCCCCATAGACACCCCATAGACACCCCATAGACACCCCATAGACACCCCATATCACCCCATAGACACCCCATAGACCCCCATAGACACCCCATAGACACCCCATAGCCGCCCCATAGCCGCCCCATAGCCGCCCCATAGCGTGACCCCATAGACACCCCAGAGACCCCATAGAGACCCCACAGAGATCCCATAGAGACCCATTGGGACCTATAGAGACCCATAGAGACCCATAGAGACCCCATAGAGATCCATAGGCCCCCCATAGAGACCCATAGACACCCCATAGAGACCCATGGACACCCCATAGAGACCTATGGAGACCCCATAGAGCCCCATAAGGACCCCATAGAGACCCATAGACACCCCATAGAGACCCATAGAGACCCCATAGAGACCCATAGAGACCCATAGAGACCCCATAGGGACCCATAGGGACCCATAGAGACCCATAGAGACCCCATAGAGACCCCACAGAGATCCCATAGAGACCCATTGGGACCTATAGAGACCCATAGAGACCCATAGAGACCCCATAGAGATCCATAGGCCCCCCCATAGAGACCCATAGACACCCCATAGAGACCCATGGACACCCCATAGAGACCTATGGAGACCCCATAGAGCCCCATAAGGACCCCATAGAGACCCATAGACACCCCATAGAGACCCATAGAGACCCCATAGAGACCCATAGAGACCCATAGAGACCCCATAGGGACCCATAGAGCCCCCATAGAGCTCCCCAGGGACCCATAGACCGCCCCCCCCCCCTTCGCCCCACATCAATGGGGCTGCCCCATAGCGCCCCCTGACGCACGCGCACGTAGGCCTGCACCGTGCTCCAGACGCGAGGCTCCGCCCCCCGGTTGTGTCGACCAATCAGAGCGAGGGTGAGGAGCCGCAACGCCCCCTGCAGGTGGCTCTGCTCCGCGTCCACCATGAGCGTCACCCCCTGCCCCACGGCGGCCTGCGGGAGCCCCATTGATTCTATGGGGCTGGACCCACATCCGGACCCATTGATTCTATGGGGCTGGAACCACATCGGGACCCATTGATTCTATGGGGCTGACCCATTGAGTCTATGGGGCTGGACCCACATCGGGACCCACTGATTCTATGGGGCTGGACCCACATCGGGACCCATTGATTCTATGGGGCTGCCCCACATCGGGACTCATTGATTCTATGGGGCTGACCCATTGATTCTATGGGGCTGCCCCACATCTCACCTGGGCCACGCTGTCCAAGCGCCGCAGGGAGACCCCAAAGTGTTGGTTCTGCTGCGGGGTCAGGAATGGCAGGGAGGGAGCAATCTATGGGGCAGACCCACAAGTTAGGGGGCTCACTGGGGTCTATGGGGCAGGATATGGGGCTCATTGTGTTCTATGGGGGAGGTTATGGGGCTCACTGGGGTCTATGGGGCAGGATATGGGTCACATTGGGATCCATAGGGCATGTTATGGGGCACGCTGCGGTCTATGGGGCAGGATATGGGGCTCGTTGCGTTCTATGGGGGAGGTTATGGGGCACACTGGGGTCTATGGGGCAGGATATGGGTCACATTGGGATCTATAGGGCATGTTATGGGGCACGCTGGGGTCTATGGGGCAGGATATGGGTCACATTGGGATCTATGGGGCATTTTATGGGGCACATTGGGGTCTATGGGGCAGGATATGGGTCACATTGGGATCTATAGAGCATTTTATGGGGCACATGGGGGTCTATGGGGCAGGATATGGGGCTCATTGTGTTCTATGGGGGAGGTTATGGGGCTCACTGGGGTCTATGGGGCAGGATATGGGTCACATTGGGATCTATAGGGCATGTTATGGGGCACATGGGGGTCTATGGGGCAGGATATGGGGCTCATTGTGTTCTATGGGGGAGGTTATGGGGCTCACTGGGGTCTATGGGGCAGGATATGGGTCACATTGGGATCTATAGGGCATGTTATGGGGCACGCTGGGGTCTATGGGGCAGGATATGGGGCTCATTGCGTTCTATGGGGGAGGTTATGGGGCTCACTGGGGTCTATGGGGCAGGATATGGGCCTCATTGGGATCTATAGGGCATGTTATGGGGCACATTGGGGTCTATGGGGCAGGATATGGGTCACATTGGGATCCATAGGGCATGTTATGGGGCACGCTGGGGTCTATGGGGCAGGATATGGGGCTCATTGCGTTCTATGGGGCATGTTATGGGGCTCACTGGGGTCTATGGGGCAGCATATGGGTCACATTGGGATCCATAGGGCATGTTATGGGGCACACTGGGGTCTATGGGGCAGGATATGGGGCTCATTGTGTTCTATGGGGGAGGTTATGGGGCACGCTGGGGTCTATGGGGCAGGATATGGGTCACATTGGGATCTATAGGGCATGTTAGGGGGCACGCTGGGGTCTATGGGGCAGGATATGGGGCTCATTGTGTTCTATGGGGGAGGTTATGGGGCTCACTGGGGTCTATGGGGCAGGATATGGGTCACATTGGGATCCATAGGGCATGTTATGGGGCACGCTGGGGTCTATGGGGCAGGATATGGGGCTCGTTGTGTTCTATGGGACAGGTTATAGGGCACATTGGGCGCTATGGGGCAGGTTAGGGGGCTCATTGGGCTCTATGGGGCAGCTTATGGGGCTCATCGGGCTCTATGGGGCAGGTTATGGGGCTCTATGGGGCAGCTTATGGGGCTCATTGGGCTCTATGGGGCAGGCTGTGAGGCACATTGAGTTCTATGGGGCAGGTTATGGGGCTCATCGGGCTCTATGGGGCAGCTTATGGGGTTCTATGGGGCAAGCTATGGGGCTCAGCCCCACACGTGTGGGTCAGGCCCCACCTTGCCCCCCATGGCCGCAATGATGAACTCCGGCGTCACTTTGGTACCCGGCTCCTGCATCCGCTGCTGGATGGTGGCCTATGTGGAGATGTGGGGCTCACTTATGGGGCTGAGGGGGGGGGGGGGTCTGGCCCCTGCCCCATAGATTCTATGGGGCAGCCCCATAACTCACGCAGAGATCGGCGTCCATCATGGCCGTCACCTTCAGCTGCATCATGGCCCCGGGGCCCGTGGCCGCCGCCAGCCCCACACATTCCAGGGCGGCCCCATGGTTGGCTTCGAACCAGGCCTCGCTGCCCCACACATGGGCGGAGATGTGGGGCAGGGCCCAGAAGCCGCCCCATAGACCCCAATGCGCCCCATAACCCACCCCATAGCACCCCATACCCTGCCCCATAGAGCCCAATGCACCCCATAACCCACCTCAATGCACCCCATACCTTGCCCCATAGAGCCCAATGCGCCCCATAACCCACCCCCCCATAGCCCAGCCCCATAGCACCCCATATCCCTGCCCCACACACCCCATAGGACCCCATAACCCACCCCATAGCATCCCATACCCTGCCCCATAGAGCCCAATGTGCCCCATAACCCACCTCAATGCACCCCATAACACTGCCCCATAGAGCCCAATGAGCCCCATAACCCACCCCATAGCACCCCATAACCCTGCCCCACACACCCCAATGCGACCCATAGCCCACCCCACACACAGCCCCCCCATAACCCTGCCCCATAGACCCCATAGCGCCCCATAACCCACCCCATAGCACCCCATAACCCACCCCATAGCCCTCCCCCCATAACCCTGCCCCACACACCCCATAGCCCCCCATAACCCTGCCCCATAGACCCCAATATACCCCATAATCCACCCCATAACCCACCCCATAACCCACCCCATAGCAACCCATAACCCACACCATACCCACCCCGCTGCCCCCCATAACCCTGCCCCACAGCACCCCATAGCACCCCATAACCCACCCCATAACCCTGCCCCACACACCCCATACGAACCCATAACCCACCCCATAACCCTGCCCCACACACCCCATAGCACCCCACAACCCCCCCATAACCCACCCCATAGCGCCCCATAACCCACCCCATAAGCCTGCCCCACACACCCCATAGCGCCCCATAACCCTGCCCCACACACCCCATAACCCACCCCATAACCCCCCCCATAACCCCCCCATAACCCACCCCATAGCGCCCCATAACCCCCCCTCCCCCCCATAGCCCTGCCCCATAGCACCCCGTAACCCACCCCACAGCACCCCATAACCCTGCCCCACACACCCCATAGCGCCCCATAATCCACCCCATAGCACCCCATAACCCTGCTCCATAGCACCCCAATGCATCCCACAACCCACCCCATAGCGCCCCATAATCCACCCCACAGCACCCCATAACCCACCCCACAGCACCCCATAACCCACCCCATAGCGCCCCATAATCCACCCCACAGCACCCCATAACCCACCCCACAGCACCCCATAACCCACCCCACAGCACCCCATAGCACCCCATAACCCACCCCATAACCCCCCATAGCCCTGCCCCATAGCACCCCATAACCCACCCCATAACCCACCCCATAGCACCCCATAGCCCTGCCCCATAGCACCCCATAGCCCCTCCCCCCCCCACGTGCCGCCCCCCGCCGTTGCTCACCCTCCTCCGCCCCTCCCCCCGGGGCTCTCGCAGGGGAGGGCGAGGGCGGGGCCGAGCCCCTCCCCCCGCAGCCGCGCGGCCGCCGCCAGGAGCCGGGGGGGGGAGGGGCCGGCCACGAACTGGGAGTAAAAGAGGGAGCGGAGGGGGGGAGGGGCGGCGGGGAGCAGCTGGGGGGGGAGGGGAGACACAGAGTCACATGGGGAGACATAGGGACACATAGAGACCCATAGAGACCCATAGAGACCCATAGAGACCCATAGGGACTCATAGGGACCCATAGAGACCCCATAGAGACCCATAGAGACCCATAGAGACACATAGAGACCCCATAGAGACCCATAGAGACCCATAGAGACCCATAGAGACCCCATAGAGACACATAGGGACCCATAGAGACCCATAGGGACCCATAGAGACCCCATAGAGACACATAGGGACCCATAGACATCCATAGAGACCCATAGAGCCTGCCCCATAGAACCCCATAGAGCCCGCCCCATAGAAACCCATAGAGCCCACCCCATAGAGCCAGCCACACAGAGCCCCATAGAGCCCCATAGAACCCCATAGAGCCCCATAGCCCCTCCCCCCCCGCCCCATAGCCCCTCCCCCTCCCCCCCCCGGAGCCCCTCCCCCCCCTCACCGTTCCCGCGCTCCGCACGAGGCGGGGCCGCGCGCAAAGCCCCAGCACGAGCAGGGCCCGGAGCAGCTCCCGCGCGCTCCGGAGCCGCAGCCCCGCCCCCCCCGAGAGGTCCAGGCCGGGGGGAGGGGCAGGGGGGAAGGGGCTCAGCCCCACGGAGCCCTGACCCATAGAGACCGGACCCATAGAGACCGGACCCATAGATCCGTGCCCTATAGATCCGTGACCCATAGAGACCGGACCCATAGAGACCGGACCCATAGATCCTGAGCCCTGCCCTATAGATCCGTGCCCTAGAGATCCGGGACCCATAGAGACCGGACCCATAGAGACCGGACCCATAGAGCCTGAGCCCTGACCCATAGAGCCCTGACCCATAGAGACCGGACCCATAGAGACCGGACCCATAGAGCCCTGACCCATAGATCCGTGCCCTATAGATCCGTGACCCATAGAGACCGGACCCATAGATCCGTGACCCATAGAGACCGGACCCATGGAGCCCTGACCCATAGAGACCGGACCCATAGAGCCGGGACCCATAGATCCGGGACCCATAGATCCGGGACCCATAGAGCCCTGACCCATAGAGACCTGACCCATAGAGACCGGACCCATAGAGCCGGGACCCATAGAGCCTGAGCCCTGACCCATAGAGACCTGACCCATAGAGCCCTGACCCATAGATCCGTGACCCATGGAGCCGGGACCCATAGAGACCGGACCCATAGAGCCCTGACCCATAGATCCGTGCCCTATAGATCCGTGACCCATAGAGACCGGACCCATAGAGCCCTGACCCATAGATCCGGAGCCCTGACCCATAGAGACCGGACCCATAGATCCGGGACCCATGGAGCCGGGACCCATAGAGACCGGACCCATAGATCCTGAGCCCTGACCTATAGAGCCTGAGCCCTGACCCATAGATTCATGACCCATAGAGCCTGAGCCCTGCCCTATAGAGCCCTGACCCATAGAGACCGGACCCATAGATTCGTGACCCATAGATTCGTGACCCATAGAGCCTGAGCCCTGCCCCATAGAGCCTGAGCCCTGCCCTATAGATCCTGAGCCCTGACCCATAGAGGCCTGACCCATAGATCCTGAGCCCTGACCCATAGAGACCGGACCCATAGAGCCTGAGCCCTGCCCCATAGAGCCCAAGCCCTGCCCCATAGATCCTGATCCCTGACCCATAGATTCTGATCTCTGCCCTGTAGATTCTGATCCCTGACCCATAGAGCCCTGACCCATAGAGCCCGAGCCCTGCCCCATAGATCCTGATCCCTGACCCATAGATCCTGATCTCTGCCCTGTAGATTCTGATCCCTGCCCTATAGAGCCCTGACCCATGGAGCCTGATCCCTGCCCCATGGAGCCCTGCCCTATGGAGCCCTGCCCCATAGATCCCTGCCCCATAGATTCGTGCCCCATAGAGCCCTGCCCCATAGATCGCTGCCCTATAGATCCTTGCCCCATAGATCCCTGCCCCATAGATCCCTGCCCCATAGATCCCAAGCCCTGCCCCATAGAGCCCTTCCCCATAGAGCCCTGCCCCATAGATCGCTGCCCTATAGATCCTTGCCCCATAGATCCTTGCCCTATAGATCCCTGCCCCATAGATCCCAAGCCCTGCCCCATAGAGCCCTGCCCCATAGATCCCTGCCCCATAGATCCTTGCCCTGTAGATCCCTGCCCTATAGAGCTCTGCTCCTGCCCCACAGACACCCCCCTGTGTCCCCTAGAGCCCTGCCCCATAGAGACCCCTCCTTGCCCCATAGATCCCCGCTCCTGCCCCATAGATCCCCGCTCCTGCCCTATAGATCCCTGCCCCATAGATCCCCGCTCCTGCCCCATAGATCCCTGCCCCATAGATCCTTGCCCCATAGATCCCCGCTCCTGCCCCATAGATCCCCGCCCCATAGACCCCTGCCCCACAGATCCCCCCCCCAGTTTCTGCCCCCCAGAGCCCCCGAGCCGCTCCTGCCCCATAGCGCCTGTGCAAAGGTCGGGGCCCACTGTGAGGCTGGGCTTTAAATGGGAGCTCCCGCCCCATAGATACACATTAACCCGGCCCCACACGGGTCAGTGCCCCACAGCGTGGGGTCAATGGGAGAGGGTGTTATGGGGCACGCTGTCGGGTGCGCTACGGGGCACGCAATGGGGCACGCTATGGGGCACGCAATGGGGCACGCTATGAGGCACGCTATGGGGCACGCCATGAGGCACGCTATGGGGTGTGCTATGGGGCACGCTATGGGGCACGCTATGGGGCACGCTATGGGGTGTGCTATGGGGCACGCTATGGGGCACGCCATGAGGCACACTATGGGGCACGCTATGGGGCACTCCATGAGGCACACTATGGGGCGTGCTACGGGGCACGCCATGAGGCACGCTATGGGGCACGCTATGGGGCACGCTATGGGGCACTCCATGAGGCACACTATGGGGCGTGCTACGGGGCACGCCATGAGGCATGCTATGGGGCGTGCTATGGGGCGCACTATGTGGCAGCTCTATGGGGCGCGCTATGGGGCACACTATGGGGCACTCCGTGAGGCACGCTATGGGGCACGCTATGGGGCACGCTATGGGGCGTGCTATGGGGCACGCTATGGGGCACGCTATGGGGCGTACTATGGGGCACGCTATGGGGCACGCTATGGGGCACGCTATGGGGCACGCCATGAGGCACGCTATGGGGCACACCATGAGGCACGCTATGGGGCGTGCTATGGGGCATGCTATGGGGCACGCTATGGGGCACACTATGGGGCACGCTATGGGGCTCGCTATGGGGCACGCTATGGGGCGTGCTATGGGGCGTGCTATGGGGCACGCTATGGGGCGTGCTATGGGGCACGCTATGGGGCACTCCATGAGGCACGCTATGGGGCGTGCTATGGGGCACGCTATGGGGCACGCTATGGGGCACGCTATGGGGCGTGCTATGGGGCACACTATGGGGCACGCTATGGGGCGTGCTATGGGGCATGCTATGGGGCACGCTATGGGGCACTCCATGAGGCACACTATGGGGCGTGCTACGGGGCACGCCATGAGGCACGCTATGGGGCGTGCTATGGGGCACACTATGGGGCACGCTATGGGGCACGCTATGGGGCACGCAATGGGGCACACTATGGGGCACGCTATGGGGCGTGCTATGGGGCACACTATGGGGCACACTATGGGGCGTGCTATGGGGCACACCATGAGGCACGCTATGGGGCGTGCTATGGGGCACGCTATGGGGCACGCTATGGGGCACGCCATGAGGCACGCTATGGGGCGTGCTATGGGGCACGCTATGGGGCGTGCTATGGGGCACGTTATGGGGCACGCTATGGGGCACACTATGGGGCACGCTATGGGGCGTGCTATGGGGCGCACTATGTGGCAGCTCTATGGGGCGCACTATGTGGCAGCTCTATGGGGCACGCTATGGGGCACACTATGGGGCACGCTATGGGGCGTGCTATGGGGCACGCTATGGGGCACGCTATGGGGCACGCTATGGGGCACGCTATGGGGCGTGCTATGGGGCACGCTATGGGGCACGCTATGGGGCACGCCATGAGGCACGCTATGGGGCACTCCATGAGGCACGCTATGGGGCGTGCTATGGGGCATGCTATGGGGCACGCTATGGGGCACACTATGGGGCACGCTATGGGGCTCGCTATGGGGCACGCTATGGGGCGTGCTATGGGGCGTGCTATGGGGCACGCTATGGGGCACTCCATGAGGCACGCTATGGGGCGTGCTATGGGGCACGCTATGGGGCACGCTATGGGGCACGCTATGGGGCGTGCTATGGGGCACACTATGGGGCACGCTATGGGGCGTGCTATGGGGCACGCTATGGGGTGTGCTATGGGGCACACTATGTGCAGTGCTATGGGGCGCACTATGTGGCAGCTCTATGGGGTGCGCTATGTGGCAGCTCTATGGGGCACGCTATGGGGGCACACTATGGGGCACGCTATGGGGCACGCTATGGGGCACACTATGGGGCGTGCTATGGGGCACGCTATGGGGCATTCCATGAGGCACGCTATGGGGCATGCCATGGGGCACGCTATGGGGCACACTATGGGGCATGCTATGGGGCACGCTATGGGCGTGCTATGGGGCACGCTATGGGGCACGCTATGGGGTGTGCTATGGGGCACACTATGGGGCACGCTATGGGGCGTGCTATGGGGCACGCTATGGGGCACGCTATGGGGCGTGCTATGGGGCATGCTATGGGGCACGCTATGGGGCACGCCATGAGGCACGCTATGGGGCGTGCTATGGGGCACGCTATGGGGCATGCTATGGGGCACGTTATGGGGCACGCTGTCGGGTGCGCTACGGGGCACGCAATGGGGCACGCTATGGGGCACGCTATGGGGCATGCTATGGGGCGTGCTATGGGGCACGCTATGGGGCGTGCTATGGGGCACACTATGTGCAGTGCTATGGGGCACGCCATGAGGCACGCCATGAGGCACGCTATGGGGCGTGCTATGGGGCATGCTATGGGGCATTCCATGAGGCACGCTATGGGGCACGCTATGGGGCACGCTATGGGGTGTGCTATGGGGCACGCTATGGGGCACGCTATGGGGCGTGCTATGGGGCACGCTATGGGGTGTGCTATGGGGCACACTATGTGCAGTGCTGTGGGGCGCACTATGTGGCAGCTCTATGGGGCGCGCTATGGGGCACACTATGGGGTACTCCATGAGGCACGCTATGGGGCGTGCTATGGGGCACGCTATGGGGCACTCCATGAGGCACGCTATGGGGCGTGCTATGGGGCACGCTATGGGGCGTGCTATGGGGCACGTTATGGGGCACGCTATGGGGCACACTATGGGGCACGCTATGGGGCACACTATGGGGCACGCTATGGGGCGTGCTATGGGGCGCACTATGTGGCAGCTCTATGGGGCGCACTATGTGGCAGCTCTATGGGGCACGCTATGGGGCACACTATGGGGCACGCTATGGGGCTTGCTATGGGGCACGCTATGGGGCACGCTATGGGGCGTGCTATGGGGCGTGCTATGGGGCACTCCATGAGGCACGCTATGGGGCACACTATGGGGCGTGCTATGGGGCACTCCATGAGGCACGCTATGGGGCGTGCTATGGGGCACGCTATGGGGCATTCCATGAGGCACGCTATGGGGCGTGCTATGGGGCACTCCATGAGGCACGCTATGGGGCACACTATGGGGCGTGCTATGGGGCATTCCATGAGGCACGCTATGGGGCGTGCGATGGGGCACGCTATGGGGCACGCTATGGGGCACGCAATGGGGCACGCCATGAGGCACGCTATGGGGGGTGCTATGGGGCACGCTATGGGGCACGCCATGAGGCACGCTATGGGGCGTGCTATGGGGCACGCTATGGGGCACTCCATGAGGCACGCTATGGGGCGTGCTATGGGGCACGCTATGGGGCACGCTGTCGGGTGCGCTACGGGGCACGCAATGGGGCACGCTATGGGGCACGCTATGGGGCACGCTATGGGGCACACTATGGGGCGTGCTATGGGGCACGCCATCAGGCACGCTATGGGGTGTGCTATGGGGCACACTATGGGGCACTCCATGAGGCACGCTATGGGGCGCACTATGTGGCAGCTCTATGGGGCACGCCATCAGGCACGCTATGGGGCGTGCTATGGGGCACGCTATGGGGCATGCTATGGGGCGCACTATGTGGCAGCTCTATGGGGCACGCCATCAGGCACGCTATGGGGCGTGCTATGGGGCACGCTATGGGGCACACTATGGGGCGCACTATGTGGCAGCTCTATGGGGCGCGCTATGGGGCGCGCTATGGGCAGGGCTATGGGACACGCTATGGGGCATGCTGTGGGGCACGCAATGGGGCACACAACGGGGCGCTATGGGGCAGGTTCCAACCCCCCCCGCCCCCCATCACCCCCCATTAACTCAGCCCCACACACATCACAACGAGCTCATGGGATGCTTTATTCTCTATGGTTCAGCGCTATGGGGCAATCAATGGGGTGCGCTATGGGGCAGGGGTCCACCACCACCATTCACTCAACCCCATATGGGCCAATGCTGCCCATAATGGGGCTTATGGGGGGAGAGAGGTTGTGGCTATGGGGCACTATGGGGAGCGCTATGGGGAGCGCTATGGGGTAAGCTATGGGGCAGGCTATGGGGCGCTATGGGGCAGGCTATGGGGCGCTATGGGGTGATATGGGGCGCTATGGGGCAGGCTATGGGGCGCTATGGGGCGCTATGGGGCAGGCTATGGGGCGCTATGGGGCAGGCTATGGGGCAGGCTATGGGGCGCTATGGGGCAGGCTATGGGGCAGGCTATGGGGCGCTATGGGGCAGGCTATGGGGCAGGCTATGGGGCGCTATGGGGTGATATGGGGCGCTATGGGGCAGGCTATGGGGCAGGCTATGGGGCAGGCTATAGGGCGCTATGGGGCAGGCTATGGGGCGCTATGGGTCAGTAGTTGGAGCCTCGTTCCTGTTGCCGGTAGCCGCCGCGTCTCAGGTATCCTCCATCCCCTTTGCGGTACCCGTCCTTCTGGTCTATGGGGCGAGAGAGAGGGGTGAGATGTGGGGCAGGAGCTATGGGGCGGGATCTATGGGGCAGGGATCTATGGGGCAGGAGCTATGGGGCAGAGATCTATGGGGCAGGAGCTATGGGGTGGGATCTATGGGGCGAGAGAAGGGGGTGAGATGTGGGGCAGGAGCTATGGGGTGGGATCTATGGGGTGGGATCTACAGGGTGGGATATATGGGGCAGAGATCTATGGGGCAGGAGCTATGAGACAGGAGCTATGGGGCGGGATCTATAAGGTGGGATCTATGGGGCAGGGATCTATGGGGCAGGGATCTATGGGGCGGGATCTATGGGGCGGGATCTACAGGGTGGGATTTATGGGGCAGAGATCTATGGGGCAGGAGCTATGGGGTGGGATTTATGGGGCAGAGATCTATGGGGCAGGAGCTATGGGGTGGGATCTATGGGGCAGGATCTATAAGGTGGGATCTATGGGGCAGGGATCTATGGGGCAGAGATCTATGGGGCAGGAGCTATGGGGTGGGATCAATGGGGCAGGATCTACAGGGTGGGATTTATGGGGCAGAGATCTATGGGGCAGGAGCTATGGGGTGGGATCTATGGGGCGGGATCTACAGGATGGGATCTATGGGGCGGAGATCTATGGGGCAGGAGCTATGGGGCGGGATCTACAGGGTGGGATTTATGGGGCAGAGATCTATGGGGCAGGAGCTATGGGGCGGGATCTATAAGGTGGGATCTATGGGGCAGGGATCTATGGGGCAGGAGCTATGGGGTGGGATCTATGGGGCGGGATCTATGGGGTGGGATCTACAGGATGGGATTTATGGGGCAGAGATCTATGGGGCAGGAGCTATGGGGCGGGATCTATGGGGCGGGATCTATAAGGTGGGATCTATGGGGCAGAGATCTATGGGGCAGGAGCTATGGGGCTGGGGTCTATTGGGTGGGAGCTATGGGGCAGGGATCTGTGGGCTGGGGTCTATGGGGCGGGAGCTATGGGGTGGGGTCTATGGGGCTGGGGTCTATGGGTAGGATCTATGGGGCGGGATCTATGGGGCTGGCGTCTATGGGGCAGGGATCTATGGGGTGGGATCTATGGGTTGGGATCTATGGGGCGGGATCTATGGGGTGGGATCTATGGGGCTGGTGTCTATGGGGCAGGGATCTATGGGGTGGGATCTATGGGGCAGGATCTATGGGGCAGGGATCTATGGGATGGGATCTATGGGTTGGGATCTATGGGGCTGGGGTCTAAGGGTCAGGATCTATGGGGCTGCGGTCTATGGGGCAGGGATCAATGGGGCTGGGGTCTATGGGGCAGGGATCTATGGGGCAGGATCTATGGGGCTGGCGTCTATGGGGCAGGGATGTATGGGGTGGGATCTACGGGGCAGGGATCTATGGGGCTGGGGTCTATGGGGCAGGGATCTATGGGTCAGGAACTATGGGGCTGGGGTCTATGGGTCAGGATCTATGGGGCAGGGATCTATGGGGTTGGGGTCTAAGGGTCAGGATCTATGGGGCAGGGATCTATGGGGCGGGACCAATGGGGTGGGATCTATGGGGTGTGGGCAGTGATGGGGGATGATGTTATGGGGTGGTAAATGGGGTTGGGGAGGGGGGGGATAATGGGGGTGGATGGTGGCGCTATGGGGCAGGTTATGGGGCACTTATGGGTCCCTATGGGGTCTCTATGGCTTTCAATGGGTCCCTATGGGTCGCTATAGCGTCTCTATGGGGTCTCTATGGATCTCTCTGAGTCCCTATGGATTCTCTATGGGTGTATGGGTCTCTATGGGTTGCTATGGGGTCTCTATGGGTCTCTATGGGTTGCTATGGGGTCTCTATGGGTCCCTATGGGTCTCTATGGGGTCTCTATGGTTTCTCTATGGGTCGCTATGGGTCCCTATTGGTCTGTATGGGTCCCTATGAGGCTCTGTGGGGTCTCTATGGGGTCTCTATGGGGTCTCTATGGGTCCCTATGGGTCACTATGAGTTGCTATGGCTCTCCATGGGGTCTCTATGGGTCCCTATGGGGTCTCTATGGGGTCTCTATGGGTCTCTATGGCTCCCTATGGGGTCCCTATGGGGTTGCTATGGGTCCCTATGGGGTCTCTATGGAGTCTCTATGGTCTCTCTATAGGTCCCTATGGGTCGCTATGGGTCTCTATGTGTCCCTATGGGGTCTCTGTGTGTCGCTATGGGGTGTATATGGGTCTCTATGGGGTCTCTATGGACCCCTCTGTGTCCCTATGGGGTGTATATGGGTCTCTATGGGTCTCTGTGGGTCACTATGGGTTCCCTATGTGTCTCTATGGGTCTCTATGGGTCTCTATGTGTCCCTATGGGGTCCCTATGGGGTCGCTGTGGGTCCCACCTCGGAAGTACCCCCCATAGGAGCCCTGTTTGTGGTCCAGGACGCGCTCGTTGTTCTCCATGAGGGTCCCCAATTTCTCGGCCAGTTGTAGGGCCAGGTTCTGTTGGGGGGTGGGCTCCGTGCGATGCATCTGCACCGTCTGCGTGGGCTGGTCCAGGGACGCCTGTGGGGCAGGAGGGGCGGCGCTTAGGGGGCAGCCCCATAGCGAGCCCCACAAGTCATAGGGAAAGGATCCAATGCAATGCAATGGGGATGCGGTGTCCATCAGAGCATCCTCAGTGCCATAGGGTACCACTGTGAGCTAAGCATAGGGTAACGCTATGGGGCTGCCCCATAGCGAGCCCCACAAGTCATAGGGAAGGGGTCCAAGGTAAGGCTATGGGGCTGCCCCATAGCGAGCCCCACAAGTCGTAGGGAAGGGATCCAATGCAATGCAATGGGGATGCGGCGTCAATCAGAGCATCCTCACTGCCATAGGGTACCACTGTGAGCTAAGCATAGGGTAACGCTATGGGGCTGCCCCATAGCGAGCCCCCCAAGTCATAGGGAAGGGGTCCAATGAAGGGCTATGGGGCTGCCCCATAGCGAGCCCCAAAAGTCATAGGGAAGGGCTCCAATGTAAGGCTATGGGGCTGCCCCATAGCGAGCCCCACAAGTCATAGGGAGGAGCCTCAATATAAGGCTATGGGGATGCGGCGTCAATCAGAGCATCCTCACTGCCATAGGGTACCACTGTGAGCTAAGCATAGGGTAACGCTATGGGGCTGCCCCATAGCTAGCTCCCCAAGTCATAGGGAAGAGCTCCAATAAAGGGCTATGGGGCTGCCCCATAGCGAGCCCCACAAGTCATAGGGAAGGGATCCAATGGAAGGCTATGGGGATGCGGCGTCAATCACAGCATCCTCACTGCCATAGGGTACCACTGTGAGCTAAGCATAGGGTAACGCTATGGGGCTGCCCCATAGCGAGCCCCACAAGTCATAGGGAAGGGGTCCAATGTAACGCTATGGGGCTGCCCCATAGCGAGCCCCACAAGTCATAGGGAAGAGCCCCAATGCAATGCAATGGGGATGCGGCATCAATCAGAGCATCCTCACTGCCATAGGGTACCACTGTGAGCTAAGCATAGGGTAACGCTATGGGGCTGCCCCATAGCGAGCCCCACAAGTCATAGGGAAGAGCTCCAATGAAGGGCTATGGGGCTGCCCCATAGCGAGCCCCACAAGTCAGAGGGAAGAGCCCCAATGCAATGCAATGGGGATGCGGTGTCCATCAGAGCATCCTCAGTGCCATAGGGTACCACTGTGAGCTAAGCAAAGGGTAACGCTATGGGGCTGCCCCATAACGAGCTCCCTGAGGCATAAGAAAGGGCTCCAATGAAGGGCTATGGGGCTGCCCCATAGCGAGCCCCACAAGTCATAGGGAAGGGATCCAATGGAAGGCTATGGGGATGCGGCGTCAATCACAGCATCCTCACTGCCATAGGGTACCACTGTGAGCTAAGCATAGGGTAACGCTATGGGGCTGCCCCATAGCGAGCTCCCCGAGGCATAAGAAAGGGCTCCAATGAAGGGCTATGGGGCTGCCCCATAGCGAGCCCCACAAGTCATAGGGAAAGGATCCAATGCAATGCAATGGGGATGCGGTGTCCATCAGAGCATCCTCACTGCCATAGGGCGCCGCTATGGGGCTGCCCCATAAGTAACAGCCCACCCAATACCGTGCTATGGGGCTGCCCCATAGGTAAGAGCATCGGCCTGCAGCATCACTGCTATAGCGATGCCCCATAGAGCACAGCCCCACCAGACCCATAGCAAACATCCCACATGGACACAGCGCTATGGGGCTGCCCCATAGATCACATCCCCACCCAGACCCATTGCTGTGGGGCTGCCCCAGAGCTCCACAGCATCAATCTTCAGACCCCTTTCTATAGGGCTGCCCCATAGACACCACCACCCACCCGCCCCATAGCTCACACCCCCTTCAGCCCCATGTCCATGGGGCTGCCCCATAGACAACGCCACCCTCCTGCCCCATAGCTCACATCCCCCTCAGCCCCATATCCATGGGGCTGCCCCATAGCTCACACCCCCTTCAGCCCCATAGACGCCCCATCGCATCACCTACGTCTATGGGGCTGCCCCATAGCTCACACCCCCTTCTGCCCCATAGACGCCCCATCGCATCACCTACATCTATGGGGCTGCCCCATAGCTCACACCCCCTTCAGCCCCATAGACACCCCATCGCATCACCTACGTCTATGGGGCTGCCCCATAGCTCACACCCCCTTCAGCCCCATAGACACCCCATCGCATCACCTACGTCTATGGGGCTGCCCCATAGCTCACACCCCCTTCAGCCCCATAGACACCCCATCGCATCACCTACGTCTATGGGGCTGCCTCATAGACCACATCCCCACCCAGACCCATTGCTGTGGGGCTGCCCCATAGACACCGCCACCCACCCGCCCCATAGCTCACACCCCCTTCAGCCCCATATCCATGGGGCTGCCCCATAGACAACGCCACTCTCCTGCCCCATAGCTCGCATCCTCCTCAGCCCCATATCCATGGGGCTGCCCCATAGCTCACACCCCCTTCAGCCCCATAGACGCCCCATCGCATCACCTACGTCTATGGGGCTGCCCCATAGCTCACACCCCCTTCAGCCCCATAGACGCCCCATCGCATCACCTACGTCTATGGGGCTGCCCCATAGCTCACACCCCCTTCAGCCCCATAGACACCCCATCACATCACCTACGTCTATGGGGCTGCCCCATAGCTCACACCCCCTTCAGCCCCATAGACACCCCATCGCATCACCTACGTCTATGGGGCTGCCCCATAGCTCACATCCCCTTCAGCCCCATAGACGCCCCATCGCATCACCTACGTCTATGGGGCTGCCCCATAGACCACATCCCCAACCCAGCCCCACACCTATGGGGCTGCCCCATAGCTCCCCTTAACCCCCCCCCCCCCATCTCCCCATCCCTCCCATAGACCCACAGCACCTCCCGCCCCATTGAAACCCCCCCCCCCCCATGCCCCATTGGGACCCCTTGGGACGCGCTATGGGTCCCCTGCCCCATAAGTAGGGGGCCTATGGGGCTCACCATGAGCTCCTCGTTGATGATCATCTTGCTGATGATGCTGTGCACCGTGGGGAGGTCCAGCTCAAACATGGCCGAGAGGATCTCCATGCTATGGGGCAGGGAGAGGGTCAGCCCCATAGATGGGTAGGGTCAGCCCCATAGATCACCAGGGTCAGCCCCATTGATGGTCATGGTCAGCCCCATTGATGGTCATGGTCAGCCCCATAGATCGCCAGGGTCAGCCCCATAGATGGGCAGGGTCAGCCCCATAGATGGGCAGGGTCAGTCCCATTGATGGTCATGGTCAGCCCCATAGATGGTCATGGTCAGCCCCATAGATGGCCATGGTCAGCCCCATAGATGGTCATGGTCAGCCCCATAGATGGGCATGGTCAGCCCCATAGATGGGCAGGGTCAGCCCCATTGATGGTCAGCCCCATTGATGGTCATGGTCAGCCCCATAGATGGCCATGGCCAGCCCCATAGATGGGCAGGGTCAGCCCCATTGATGGTCATGATCAGCCCCATAGATGGGCAGGGTCAGACCCATTGAGGGTCATGGTCAGACCCATTGATGGGCAGGGTCAGCCCCATTGATGGGCAGGGTCAGCCCCATTGATGGCCATGGTCAGCCCCATTGATGGTAATAGACAGCCCCATAGATGGTCATGGTCAGCCCCATTGATGGCCATGGTCAGCCCCATAGATGGTCATGGTCAGCCCCATAGATGGTCATGGTCAGCCCCATTGATGGTCATGGTCAGCCCCATAGATCACCAGGGTCAGCCCCATAGATCACCAGGGTCAGCCCCATAGATCACCAGGGTCAGCCCCATAGATGGTCATGGTCAGCCCCATAGATGGTCATGGTCAGCCCCATAGATGGGCAGGGTCAGCCCCATTGATGGCCATGGTCAGCCCCATAGATGGCCATGGTCAGCCCCATTGATGGGCATGGTCAGCCCCATAGATGGTCATGGTCAGCCCCATAGATGGTCATGGTCAGCCCCATTGATGGTCATGGTCAGCCCCATTGATGGTCATGGTCAGCCCCATAGATGGGCATGGTCAGACCCATTGAGGGTCATGGTCAGCCCCATTGATGGTAATAGACAGCCCCATAGATGGTCATGGTCAGCCCCATTGATGGTCATGGTCAGCCCCACTGATGGTCATGGTCAGCCCCATTGATGGTAATAGCCCCATAGATGGTCATGGTCAGCCCCATTGATGGCCATGGTCAGCCCCATAGATCGCCAGGGTCAGCCCCATTGATGGTCATGGTCAGCCCCATAGATCACCAGGGTCAGCCCCATAGATGGGCAGGGTCAGCCCCATAGATCACCAGGGTCAGCCCCATAGATGGTCATGGTCAGCCCCATAGATGGGCAAGGTCAGCCCCATAGATCACCAGGGTCAGCCCCATTGATGGTCAGCCCCATTGATGGTCAGGGTCAGCCCCATTGAGGGTCATGGTCAGCCCCATAGATGGGCAGGGTCAGCCCCATAGATGGGCAAGGTCAGCCCCATAGATGGGCATGGCCAGCCCCATAGATGGGCAGGGTCAGCCCCATAGATGGGCAGGGTCAGCCCCATAGATGGACATGGTGAGCCCCATTGATGGTCATGGTCAGCCCCATAGATCACCAGGGTCAGCCCCATAGATGGTCACGGTCAGCCCCATAGATGGTCATGGTCAGCCCCATTGATAGTCATGGTCAGCCCCATAGATGGTCATGGTCAGCCCCATAGATGGTCATGGTCAGCCCCATTGATAGTCATGGTCAGCCCCATAGATGGTCATGGTCAGCCCCATAGATGGTCATGGTCAGCCCCATTGATGGTCATGGTCAGCCCCATTGATGGTCATGGTCAGCCCCATAGATACCCATACCCAACCCCATAGATACCCATGGCCAGCCCCATAGATAACCATCCCCAACCCCATTGATGACCATACCCAACCCCATTGATCCCCATCCCCAACCCCATAGATACCCACGGCCAGCCCCATAGATACCCATGGCCAGCCCCATAGATACCCATCCCCAACCCCATTGATGACCATACCCAGCCCCATTGATACCCATGGCCAGCCCCATAGATATCTATACCCAACCCCATAGATACCCATCCCCAACCCCATAGATACCCATGGCCAGCCCCATAGATGCCCATACCCAACCCCATAGATACCCATACCCAACCCCATTGATCCCCATACCCAACCCCATAGATACCCACGGCCAGCCCCATAGATACCCATGGCCAACCCCATAGATACCCATACCCAACCCCATTGATGACCATACCCAGCCCCATTGATACCCATGGCCAGCCCCATAGATATCTATACCCAACCCCATAGATACCCATACCCAACCCCATAGATGCCCATACCCAACCCCATAGATACCCATCCCCAACCCCATAGATCCCCATGGCCAGCCCCATAGATACCTGTACCCAACCCCATAGATACCCATGGCCAGCCCCATAGATACCCATACCCAACCCCATTGATGACCGTACCCAACCCCATTGATCCCCATCCCCAACCCCATTGATCCCCATCCCCAACCCCATTGATACCCATGGCCAGCCCCATAGATACCCACAGCCAGCCCCATAGATACCCACGGCCAGCCCCATAGATGTCCCCGCTGCCCCATAGCGCCCCACCTGATGGAGTCATAGACGCTGCTGTAGGTGAACAAGTAGGTCCGGAGCGATTCCTCCTGGATCTTCCTATGGGGTCACGGGACCCCCAAGTGGACCTCAATGGGGAGCCCCATTGAGACCCATTGAGACCCTCCCCACCCCATTGAGCCCCATTGAGACCCCCCCCCCACCCCATTGAGCCCCATTGACCCCCATTGACTCCCATTGACCCCCATTGCCCCCCATTGCCTCCCATTGACCCCAGTTGACTCCCATTGACCCCCATTGACTCCCATTGACCCCCATTGACCCCCACTGCCCCCCATTGACTCCCATTGACCCCCATTGACTCCCATTGACCTCCATTGACCCAACTGGATCCCCATTGACCATTGACCCCCATTGACTCCCATTGACCCCATTGACTCCCATTGATCCCCATTGACCCCCATTGACTCCCATTGACCCCCATTGACTCCCAGACCTCCATTGATCTCCATTGACCCCCATTGACTCCCATTGACCCCCATCGCACCCCACTGACTCCCATTGACCCCCATTGACCCCCACTGACTCCCAATGCCCCCCATTGACTCCCATTGACTCCCATTGACCCCCATTGCCCATTGACTCCCATTGACTCCCATTGACCCCCATTGACCCCCATTGCCCATTGACTCCCATTGACTCCCATTGACCCCCACTGCCCCCCATTGACTCCCATTGACCCCCATTGCCCCCCATTGACTCCCATTGCCCCCATTGACTCCCATTGACCCCCATTGAATCCCATTCACCCCCATTGCCCCCCATTGGCTCCCATTGACCCCCATTGCCCCCCATTGACTCCCATTGCCCCCCCTTGACTCCCATTGACCCCCATTGCCCCCCACTGCCCCCCATTGACCCAACTGGATCCCCATTGACCATTGACTCCCATTGACCTCCATTGACTCCCATTGACCCCCATTGACCCCCATTGACCCCCACTGCCCCCCATTGACTCCCATTGACCCCCACTGACCCCCATTGACCTCTATCGACCCCCATTGACTCAACTGGATCCCCATTGACCACTGACCCTCACTGACACCCATTGACTCCCATTGACCCCCATTGACTCCCATTGACCCCCACTGTCCCCCATTGACTCCCATTGACCCCCATTGACCTCTATCGTCCCCCATTGACCCAACTGGATCCCCATTGACCACTGACCCCCACTGACTCTCATTGCCCCCCACTGAACCCCATTGACTCAAATTTGACCTCCATTGACCCCCACTGACCCCCATTGACTCCCATTGACCCCCATTGACTCCCATTGACCTCTATCGACCCCCATTGACCCAACTGGATTCCCATTGACCATTGACCCCCATTGACCCCCATTGACTCCCATTGCCTCCCATTGACCCCCATTGACACCCATTGACTCCCATTGACTCCCACTGACCTCCATTGACCTCCATTGACCCAAATGGATTCCCATTGACCATTGACCCCCATCTCCCCCCATTGACTCCCATTGACCCCCATTGAGTACCATTGACCCCCATTGACTCCCATTGACCCAACTGGATCCCCATTGACCATTGACCCCCATTGACCCCCATTGCCTCCCATTGGCCTCCATTGACTCGCATTGGCTGCCATTGACTCCCATTGACTCCCATTGGCCCCCATTGACTCCCATTGACCCCCATTGACTCCCATTGACCTCCATTGACTCCCATTGTCCCCCATTGACCCAACTGGATCCCTATTGACCACTGACTCCCATTGAGCCCCATTGACTCCCATTGACCCCCATTGTCCCCCATTGACCCCCATTGCCTCCCATTGCCTCCCATTGCCGCCCATTGACTCCCATTGACCCCCATTGACCCCCATTGACCCCCATTGACTCCCATTGACCCCCATTGCCCCCATTGACCCCCACTGCCCCCCATTGCCCCCCAACTCACCGCACGAGCATGGCGCGGACCTTGTCGGCCTCGGGGAAGAGGTCCCACACTTTGCCGTTCATCTTCTCGTTGACCACGTAGCGATGGCAGCTCCGCCAATCCCCCATCTTCATGGCCTTGGAGGCGGCCACCACGTGCTCGCGCATGGATTCCGGGGGTCCTGTGGGGCGGGAGAGGCGAAGGTTGACCCAGAGGCGTGGGGAGCCAGAGAGAGACCCATAGATTGATCCAGAGCCCCATAGATTGACCCAGAGGTTTGGGGAGCCAGAGAGAGCCCCATAGATTGATCCAGAGCCCCATAGATTGACCCAGAGGTGTGGGGAGCCAGAGAGAGACCCATAGATTGATCCAGAGCCCCATAGATTGACCCAGAGGTTTGGGGAGCCAGAGAGAGCCCCATAGATTGATCCAGAGCCCCATAGATTGACCCAGAGGTGTGGGGAGCCAGAGAGAGACCCATAGATTGATCCAGAGCCCCATAGATTGACCTAGAGATGTGACCCATAGATTGACGCAGAGGTGTGGGGAGCCAGAGAGAGACCCATAGATCGATCCAGAGCCCCATAGATTGACCCAGAGACCCATAGATTGATCCAGAGCCCCATAGATTGACCCAGAGATGTGACCCATAGATTGACCCAGAGATGTGACCCATAGATTGACTCAGAGATGTGACCCATAGATTGACCCAGAGGTGTGGGGAGCCAGAGAGAGACCCATAGATTGATCCAGAGCCCCATAGATTGACCTAGAGATGTGGGGACCCAGAGCCCCATAGATTGACCCAGAGATGTGACCCAGAGAGAGCCCCATAGATTGACCCAGAGATGTGACCCCCTTAGGGAGCCCCATAGATTGACCCAGAGCCCCATAGAGAGCCCCATAGATTGACCCAGAGGTGTGGGGAGCCAGAGAGAGCCCCATAGATTGATCCAGAGCCCCATAGATTGACCCAGAGGTGTGGGGAGCCAGAGAGAGACCCATAGATTGATCCAGAGCCCCATAGATTGACTCAGAGATGTGACCCATAGATTGACCCAGAGGTGTGGGGAGCCAGAGAGAGCCCCATAGATTGATCCAGAGCCCCATAGATTGACCCAGAGGTGTGGGGAGCCAGAGAGAGCCCCATAGATTGAGTGCCCCATAGATTGACCCAGAGCCCCATAGATCGACCCAGAGATGTGACCCATAGAGAGTCCCATACATGAACCCAGAGAGTGCCCCATAGACTGACCAAGAGCGCCCCACAGATTGACTCAATGGGGATCAATGGGGACTCAATGGGGATCAATGGGGCTCAATGGGGACTCAATGGGGATCAATGGGGACTCAATGGGAGCTCAATGGGGAGTCAATGGGAGCTCAATGGGGAGTCAATGCGGATCAATGGGGACTCAATGGGGGTCAATGGGGACTCAATGGAGGTCAACGGGAGCTCAATGGGGATCAATGGGGACTCAATGGGAGCTCAATGGGGATCAATGGGGATCAATGGGGATCAATGGGGACTCAATAGGGATCAATGGGGACTCAATGGGGATCAATGGGGCTCAATGGAGATCAATGGGGATCAATGGGGATCAATGGGAACTCAATGGGGATCAATGGAGACTCAATGGGGATCAATGGGGACTCAATGGGGATCAATGGGAACTCAATGGGGATCAATGGGAACTCAATGGGGATCAATGGGAACTCAATAGGGATCAATGGGGACTCAATGGGGATCAATGGGAACTCAATGGGGATCAATGGGGACTCAATGGGGATCAATGGGGATCAATGGGGAATCAATGGGGACTCAATGGGGATCAATGGGGATCAATGGGAACTCAATGGGGATCAATGGGGACTCAATGGAGGTCAACAGGGACTCAATGGGGACTCAATGGGGATCAATGGGAACTCAATGGGGACTCAATGGGGACTCAATGGGGATCAATGGGAACTCAATAGGGATCAATGGGGACTCAATGGGGATCAATGGGGCTCAATGGAGATCAATGGGGATCAATGGGGATCAATGGGAACTCAATGGGGATCAATGGGGACTCAATGGGGATCAATGGGAACTCAATGGGGATCAATGGGAACTCAATGGGGATCAATGGGGACTCAATAGGGATCAATGGGAACTCAATGGGGGTCAATGGGGATCAATGGGAACTCAATGGGGATCAATGGGGACTCAATGGGGATCAATGGGAACTCAATGGGGATCAATGGGGAATCAATGGGGACTCAATGCAGGTCAACGGGAGCTCAATGGGGATCAATGGGGACTCAATGGGGATCAACGGGAGCTCAATGGGGATCAATGGGGACTCAATGGGGACTCAAGGTGAACTCAATAGGGATCAATGGGGACTCAATGGGGATCAATGGGGACTCAATGGGGATCAATGGGGACTCAATGTGAACTCAATGGGGATCAATGGGGACTCAATGGAGGTCAACGGGAGCTCAATGGGGACTCAATGGGGACTCAATGGGGATCAATGGGAGCTCAATGGGGATCAATGGGGACTCAATGGGGATCAATGGGGACTCAATGGGGACCCAATGGAGGTCAACAGGGACCCAATGGGGACTCAATGGGGATCAATGGTGATCAATGGGGACTCAATGGAGGTCAACAGGGACCCAATGGGGACTCAATGGGGATCAATGGGGACTCAATAGGGAATCAATGGGGATCAATGGGGACTCAATGGGGATCAATGGGGACTCAATGGAGGTCAACAGGGACTCAATGGGGACTCAATGGAGGTCAATGGGAACACAATGGGGGTCAATGGGGACTCAATGGGGATCAATGGGGACTCAATAGGAACTCAATGGAGATCAATAGGGACTCAATGGCACTCAATGGAAGTCAATAAGGACTCAATGGAGACTCAATGGGGGTCAATGGGGACTCAATGGGGACTCAATGGAGGCCAACAGGGACTCAATGGGGACTCAATGGAGGTCAACGGGGACTCAATGGGGATCAATGGAGGTCAATGGGGACTCAATGGGGACTCAATGGAGGTCAACGGGAGCTCAATGGGGACTCAATGGGGGTCAATGGGGCCTCAATGGGGAATCAATGGGGCCTCAATGGGGCTTCACTGGCCCCCCCACCATGCACCCACCGAGCAGGGTCTGCCTCTCTCCCACGCGGAGCTGATGATGGAACTGCTTGCTGATCATGGGGACCCAATGGGGATCAATGGGGACTCAATGGGGATCAATGGGGATCAATGGGGACTCAATGGGGACTCAATGGGGATCAATGGGGATCAATGGAGACTCAATGGGGATCAATGGGGACTCAATGGGGACTCAATGGGGATCAATGGGGATCAATGGAGACTCAATGGGGATCAATGGGGACTCAATGAGGGTCAATGGGGACTCAATGGGAATCAATGGGGGTCAATGGGGACTCAATGGGGATCAATGGGGACTCAATGGGAATCAATGGGGACTCAATGGGGATCAATAGGGATCAATGGGGACTCAATGGGGATCAATGGGGATCAATAGGGATCAATGGGGACTCAATGGGGATCAATGGGGATCAATGGGGATCTATGGGGATCAATGGGGGTCAATGGGGACTCAATGGGGATCAATGGGGATCAATGGAAACTCAATGAGAACACAATGGGGACTCAATGAGGACAACGGGAGCTCAATGGGGATCAATGGGGATCAGTGGGGACTCAATGGGGATCAATGGGGACTCAATGGGAGCTCAATGGGGAGTCAATGCGGATCAATGGGGACTCAACGGAGGTGAATGAGAACTCAATGGGGACTCAATGGAGGTCAATGGGAACTCAATGGGGATCAATGTGGACTCAATGGGGACTCAAAGGGAACTCAACGGGGGTCAATGGGGACTCAATGGAGTTCAACGGGGACTCAATGGGGATCAATGGGAACTCAATGGAGGTCAACGGGAGCTCAATGGGGATCAATGGGAACTCAATGGAGGTCAACGGGAGCTCAATGGGGATCAATGAGAACTCAATGGGGATCAATGGGGACTCAATGGGGATCAATGGGAACTCAATGGGGATCAATGGGGACTCAATGGGGATCAATGGGAACTCAACGGAGGTCAATTCGGACTCAATGGAGTTCAACGGGGACTCAATGGGGATCAATGGGAACTCAATGGAGGTCAACGGGAGCTCAATGGGGATCAATGGGAACTCAATGGAGGTCAACGGGAGCTCAATGGGGATCAATGAGAACTCAATGGGGACTCAATGGGGACTCAATGGGGACTCAATGGGGACTCAACGGAGGTCAATGGGGACTCAATGGAGTTCAACGGGGACTCAATGGGGATCAATGGGAACTCAATGCAGGTCAACGGGAGCTCAATGGGGATCAATGGGAACTCAATGGAGGTCAACGGGAGCTCAATGGGGATCAATGAGAACTCAATGGGAACTCAATGGGGACTCAATGGGGATCAATGGGAACTCAACGGAGGTCAATTCGGACTCAATGGGCACCCAATAGTGATCGATGGGCCCTCCTCCATGCACCCACCGAGCAGGGGCTGCCTCTCTCCCACGCGGAGCTGATGATGGAACTGCTTGCTGATCATGCGGCGGCGGGCGTCGAACTCGTGCGCCGCCATGTAAGGGATCTCCAGGAGCATGGCGGCCACCAGGTAGACGCATTCGAGGAGCTCCAGGTTGACGTGCATGTGGAAGGGCACCTGGCGCCTCTTCTCCACCTTCTCCTGCTCGGGGTTGCGCTCCTGGAGGCTCCGTAGGAGCAAGCCTTGACCCAAAAGCTCCTTGGCGCGCCCGGAGGATTGGATGTCCAAGAGGGCGTTGTGGGCGTCCTTGATGAGGCCTTGGCGGAAGGCGCAGATGCCCAACTGGACCATGGTGCGGTTGTAGAGGATCTGGAAGGGGGGGGAAATGTGGGGTGAGGTTGGTTATGGGGCAGGGAAGGCGTTGGGGTCAATGGGAGAAGGATTGAGGGGGAAAGAAGGGCGTCGGAGTCAAGAGGAACCTCATGGAGAGGTTGGTAGGGAAAGACTTGGGGGTCAATGGGGATGATGAGAGATGAAGTTATGGGGTCTATGGGGTCACAGGACTCAATGGGGGTCAATGGAAGTCAATGGGAGAAGGGCTTGGGGGTCTGGGAGTGGTGGGACTCAAGAGGAACCTCATGGAGATGTTGGGGGTGAAGGACTTGGGGGTCAATGGGGATGATGAGAGATGAAGTTATGGGGTCTATGGGGTCATAGGACTCAATGGGGGTCAATGGAAGTCAATGGGAGAAGGGCTTGGGGGTCTGGGAGTGGTGAGACTCAAGAGGAACCTCATGGAGATGGTGGTAGGGAAAGACTTGGGGGTCAAAGGGGATGATGGGAGATGAAGTTATGGGGTCTATGGGGTCACAGGACTCAATGGGGGTCAATGGAAGTCAATGGGAGAAGGACTTGGGGGTCAGGGAGTGGTGGGACACAAGAGGAACCTCATGGAGACGTTGGGGGTGAAGGACTTGGGGGTCAAAGGGGATGATGGGAGATGAAGTTATGGGGTCTATGGGGTCACAGGACTTAATGGGGGTCAATGGAAGTCAATGGGAGAAGGACTTGGGGGTCGGGGAGTGGTGGGACTCAAGAGGAACCTCATAGAGATGATGGGGGTGAAGGACTTGGGGGTCAATGGGGATGATGGGGAATGAAGTTATGGGGTCCATGGGTCAATGTGTGGGTCAGACCTGCACGGGGGGGTCGGCGTGCTGGATGTTGTCCTGCAGGTGGGACATGAGCATGAGGTCTCGGGCCGGGTACCAGCGGCTGTGCAGCGCGTGGTGGTAGATGTGGCAGAGGATGGCGCAGGTGCGGATGCGGTCCGTGCGGTCCTTGGCGTAGATGAACTTGCAGAGGCGCTCCATGAGGGCCGCCGAGTCCTCGCCGCCGGCGCCTGTGTGACGTCAGTGATGATGTCATCAGTGATGTCATCATCAGCATTGATATCATCATCATTGACGTCATCATTGACATCATCATCCATCATTAGCATCGTCATCGATATCATCATCGACACCCTCATCCACCATTGACATCATCATCATTGACGTCATCGACATCATCATCCATCATTAGCATCGTCATTGATATCATCATCGACACCCTCATCCATCATTGACATCCTCATCCATCATTGACATCATTGATATCATCATCGACATCATCATCGATATCATCATCGACATCATCATCCATCATTACCATCGTCATCGATATCATCATCGACATCCTCATCCATCATTGACATCATCATCATTGATATCATCATCATTGACATCATCATCGACATCATCATCAACATCATTGATATCATCATCGACATCATCATCCATCATTAGCATCGTCATCGATATCATCATCAACATCCTCATCCATCATTGACATCCTCATTCATCATTGACATCATCGATATCATCATTGACATCATCATCGATATCATCATCGACATCATCATCCATCATTAGCATCGTCATCGATATCATCATCGACACCCTCATCCATCATTGACATCATCATCATTGACATCATCATCATTGATATCATCATCGACATCATCATCCATCATTAGCATCGTCATCGATATCATCATCGACACCCTCATCCATCATTGACATCATCATCATTGACATCATCATCGATATCATCATCGACATCATCATCCATCATTAGCATCGTCATCGATATCATCATTGACACCCTCATCCATCATTGACATCATCATCATCATTGACATCATCATTGACATCATCATCAACATCATTGATATCATCATCGACATCATCATCCATCATTAGCATCATCATCGATATCATCATCGACATCCTCATCTATCATTGACATCATCATCATTGACATCATCATTGACATCATCATCATCATCATCATTGATATCATCATCGACATCATCATCCATCATTAGCATCGTCATCGATATCATCATCAACACCCTCATCCATCATTGACATCATCATCATCATTGACATCATCATTGACATCATCATCATCATCATCATCATCATCATCATCCATCATTAGCATCGTCATCGATATCATCGACACCCTCATCCATCATTGACATCATCATCATCATTGACATCATCATTGACATCATCAACATCATCATCATTGATATCATCATCGACATCATCATCCATCATTAGCATCGTCATCGATATCATCATCGACACCCTCATCCATCATTGACATCATCATCATTGACATCATCATCATTGATATCATCATCGACATCATCCATCATTAGCATCGTCATTGATATCATCATCGACACCCTCATCCATCATTGACATCCTCATTCATCATTGACATCATCATTGACATCATCATCATCATCGATATCATCATCGACATCATCATCCATCATTAGCATCGTCATCGATATCATCGACACCCTCATCCATCATTGACATCCTCATTCATCATTGACATCATCGATATCATCATTGACATCATCATCACTGATATCATCATCAACATCATCATCCATCATTAGCATCGTCATCGATATCATCATCGACACCCTCATCTGTCATTGACATCATCATCATTGACATCATCATTGACATCATCATCATCATTGATATCATCATCGACATCATCATCCATCATTAGCATCGTCATCGATATCATCATCGACACCCTCATCCATCATTGACATCATCATCATCATTGACATCATCATTGACATCATCAACATCATCATCATTGATATCATCATCGACATCATCATCCACCATTAGCATCGTCATCGACATCATTGACATCATCGATATCATCATTGACATCATCATCATCGACATCATCATCATCATCCATCATTGTCCATCATCATCATCATCATTGACATCATCCATCATCATCATCAACATCATCATTGACATCATCATCATTGATATCATCAACATCATCGACATCATCATCGATATCATCATCGACATCATTATCATTGACATCATCATCATCACTCATCATCACCATCCTACCTCACCCCATAGCCCTTATACCCTCCATAACCCCCACACCCCCCACCCCCCCTATACCCCCCATATCCCCCATCCCCCCCACACCCCCCATACACCCCACATCCCCCATCCGCCCCACACCCCCTATACCCCCCATATCCCCATCCCCCCAACACCCCCTATACCCCCCACCCCCCCCACACCCCCTATGCCCCCCATACCCACAATAATCCATACCCCCCATATCCCCCCCACACCCCCATTATCCCCATCCCCCCCCACACCCCCCATACCCCCTATACCCCCCATATCCCCATCCCCCCCACACCCCCCATACCCCCTATCGACCCCATACCTCCCACACCCCCATCCCCCCCCCACCCCCCATACCCCTACACTCCCATGCCCCCCATATCCCCCATCCCCCCCACACCCCCTACACCCCCCATTATCCCCACCCCCCCCACCCCCCCAATAATCCATCCCCCCCCATATCCCCCCATACCCCCTATCCACCCCATACCTCCCACACCCCCATCCCCCCCACACCCCCCATACCCCATCCCCCCCACACCCCCTATACCCCCCACCCCCCCCACACCCCCCATCCCCCCCACACCCCCCATCCCCCCCACACCCCCTATACCCCCCATATCCCCATCCCCCCCACACCCCACACCCCCCACACCCCCTATACCCCCCACATCCCCCATCCCCCCATATCCCCATCCCCCCCACACCCCCCATACTCCCCCACACCCCCTATACCCCCCATCTCCCCCATACCCCCAATAAACCATAACCCCCATACCCCATCCCCCCCACATCCCCCATAACCCCCATTATCCCCATCCCCCCCACACCCCACACCCACCCCATAGCCACCCCCCATCCCCCCCACACTCACCCCCCATCTGCCCCTCCCCGTAGTCGAACTTGTAATAGGTGTGGAGGATGCGGCGCAGGAACACCCGGCACAGCTCCTCGGGGGACCCCTTCTCCTGCAGGTACCGCTGCAGGCGGGCGATGATCCCGCACACCCGCGCCTCGTCCTTCAGCTGCTCCACGTACTCTGGGGGGCAGAGATACATAGGGGTCTCTATGGGGCGCTATGGGGCGCTATGGGGTCGCTATGGGTCTCTATGGGGCGCTATGGGTCTCTATGGGGTCCCTATGGGTCACTATGGGTCCCTATGTGGGTCCCTATGGGTCTCTATGGGTCCCTATGGGTCTCTATGGGACCCCTTCTCCTGCAGGTACCGCTGCAGGCGGGCGATGATCCCGCACACCCGCGCCTCGTCCTTCAGCTGCTCCACGTACTCTGGGGGGCAGAGATACATAGGGGTCTCTATGGGTCCCTATGGGGTCTCTATGGGTCTCTATGGGTCTCTATGGGTCTCTATGGGGTCTCTATGGGGGGTAATGGGGTCCTAAGGGGGTCCTATGGGGATGCTATGGGGAGTAATGGGTCTCTATGGGTCGCTATGGGTCACTATGGGGTGTCTATGGGTCGCTATGGGGTGTCTATGGGTCTCTATGGGTCTCTATGGGTCGCTATGGGGTGTCTATGGGTCACTATGGGTCTCTATGGGGTGCTATGGGGTCTCTATGGGTCGCTATGGGGTCTCTATGGGTCTCTATGGGGTCTCTATGGGTCTCTATGGGTCTCTATGGGTCCCTATGGGTCTCTATGGGTCTCTATGGGTCTCTATGGGTCTCTATGGGTCCCTATGGGTCTCTATGGGTCTCTATGGGTCTCTATGGGGTCTCTATGGGGGAGAATGGGGTCCTAAGGGGGTCCTATGGGGATGCTATGGGGAGAAATGGGTCTCTATGCGTCGCTATGGGTCACTATGGGGTCTCTATGGGTCGCTATGGGTCACTATGGGTCCCTATGGGTCCCTACGTGGGTCCTATGGGGTCCCTATGGGTCTCTATGTGGTCCCTATGGGTCCCTATGTGGGTCCCTATGGGTCCCTATGGGGTCCCTATGGGTCTCTATGGGTCTCTATGGGGTCTCTATGGGTCTCTATGGGGTCTCTATGGGTCTCTATGGGGTCTCTATGGGGGAGAATGGGGTCCTAAGGGGGTCCTATGGGGATGCTATGGGGGTAATGGGTCTCTATGGGTCACTATGGGTCGCTATGGGACTCTATGGGGTCTCTATGGGTCGCTATGGGGTCCCTATGGGTCACAATGGGTCCCTATAGGGTGTCTATGGGTCACTATGGGGTCTCTATGGGTCGCTATGGGTCACTATGGGGTCCCTATGGGTCCCTACATGGGTCCTATGTGTCTCCATGGGTCCCTATGTGTTCCCTGTGGGTCTCTATGGGGTCTCTATGGCTCTCTATGGTTCCCTATGGGTCGCTATGGGTCTCTATGGGTCGCTATGGGTCTCTATGGGTTTCTATGGGTCGCTATGGGGTTACCTTGCGAGTGTGGGTCCGTGTTCTGCATGATCTTGGTGAACTCCTCGTCCATTCGCTCCACCAGGGTCAGGATGCAGCCGCGGACGCGGTAGGGCTGGAAAGGGGGGCAGGACCCATAAGTGTGGGGCAAGACCCATAAGTGTGGGGCAGGAGCCACAAGTGTGGGGCAGGAGCCACAAGTGTGGGGCAGGACCCATAAGTGTGGGGCAGGACCCACAAGTGTGGGGCAGGAGCCACAAGTGTGGCGCAGGACCCATAAGTGTGGGGCAGGACCCACAAGTGAAGTGCAGGAACCACAAGTGTGGGGCAGGAGCCGTAAGTGTGGGGCAGCACCCATAAGTGAGGGTCTGGACCCACAAGTGTGGGGCAGTACCCACAAGTGTGGGGCAGGACCCACAAGTGAGGTGCAGGAGCCACAAGTGTGGGGCAGGACCCACAAGTGAGGTGCAGGACCCATAAGCGTGGGGCAGGACCCACAAGTATGGGGCAGGAGCCACAAGTGTGGGACAGGACCCACAAGTGTGGGGCAGGAGCCACAAGTGTGGGGCAGGAGCCATAAGTGCGGGGCAGCGCCCATAAGTGAGGGGCTGGACCCACAAGTGAGGTGCAGGACCCATAAGTGTGGGGCAGGACCCATAAGTGTGGGGCAGGATCCACAAGTGAGGTGCAGGACCCACAAGTGAGGTGCAGGAACCACAAGTGAGGTGCAGGACCCACAAGTGTGGGGCAGGAGCCACAAGTGTGGGGCAGCACCCATAAGTGAGGGTCTGGACCCACAAGTGTGGGGCAGGAGCCATAAGTGTGGGGCAGTACCCACAAGTGTGGGGCAGGACCCACAAGTGAGGTGCAGGAGCCACAAGTGTGGGGCAGGACCCACAAGTGAGGTGCAGGACCCATAAGTGTGGGGCAGGACCCACAAGTGTGGGGCAGGACCCACAAGTATGGGGCAGCACCCACAAGTGTGGGGCAGGACCCACAAGTGTGGGGCAGGAAGCATAAGTGTGGGGCAGGACCCATAAGTGAGGGGCAGGACCCACAAGTGTGGGGCAGGACCCACAAGTGTGGGGCAGGACCCATAAGTGTGGGTCTGGACCCATAAGTGTGGGGCAGCACCCATAAGTGTGGGGCAGGACCCACAAGTGAGGTGCAGGAGCCACAAGTATGGGGCAGGAGCCATAAGTGTGGGGCAGGACCCATAAGTGTGGGGCTGGACCCACAAGTGAGGTGCAGGACCCATAAGTGTGGGGCAGGACCCACAAGTGAAGTGCAGGAGCCACAAGTATGGGGCAGCACCCGTAAGTGAGGGTCTGGACCCACAAGTGTGGGGCAGGAGCCATAAGTGTGGGGCAGGACCCATAAGTGTGGGGCAGGACCCATAAGTGAGGGTCTGGACCCACAAGTGTGGGGCAGGACCCATAAGTGTGGGGCAGGACCCACAAGTATGGGGCAGGACCCACAAGTGAGGTGCAGGAACCACAAGTGTGGGGCAGGAGCCGTAAGTGTGGGGCAACACCCATAAGTGAGGGTCTGGACCCACAAGTGTGGGGCAGGACCCATAAGTGTGGGGCAGGACCCACAAGTGTGGGGCAGGACCCATAAGTGTGGGGCAGCACCCATAAGTGATGGGCTGGAACCATAAGTGAGGGGCTGGACCAATAAGTGTGGGGCTGGACCCATAGATGTGGTCCCAGACCCATAGATATGGACCCCAAACCCATCACTGCACCCTCCAGCCCCATAGAGCCCCACAGACTCCAACAGACCTGCCACGGAAACGCCGTAGACACCCTATAGTGCCCCATAGACACCCCATAGACACCCCACAGACCCCCCCATAGCCCCCTATAGACCCCCCATAGCCACCCTATAGCCCCCCATAGCTGCCCCATAGACCCCCATAGAGACCTATATACGCCCTATAGACCCCCATATACACCCTATAGCCCCCCATAGCCGCCCCATAGACCCTCATAGAGACCCATATACACTCTATAGACCCCCATAGACCCCCCATAGAGACCCCATAGCTGCCCCATAGCCACCCCACAGAGACCCACAGCGCCCCATAGGCCCTCATATACACCCCACAGAGACCCACAGCGCCCCATAGCCACCCCATAGCCCCCCACAGACACTCCAGAGCCCCCCCACAGAACCCCATAGAGACCCCATAGCCCCTCATAGACACCCCACAGAAACCCATGCACCCCACAGCCGCCCCATAGCCACCCCACAGCCCCCCCATAGACCCACAGCACCCCATAGCCGCCCCATAGCTGCCCCATAGCCACCCCATATCCTCCCCCATAACCACCCCATAGCCATCCCATACCCCCCCATAACCACCCCATAGCTGCCCCATATACTCCCCATACTGCCCCACACCTGCCCCATAGCGCCCCATAGCTGCCCCATACCCACCCCATACCCCCCCCATACCCGCCCTATAGCGCCCCACACCCGCCCCACACCCGCCCCATATACACCCCATAGCTGCCCCATATACACCCTGTAGCGCCCCATAGCTGCCGCACACCTGGCCCATAGCTGCCCCATAACCACTCCACAGCTTCCCCATAGCGCCCCATAGCCGCCCCATAACCACCCCATAGCCGCCCCATATACACCCCATAGCTGCCCCATAGCCACCCCACACCCGCCCCATAGCGCCCCATAGCTGCCCCACACCTGTCCTATAGTGCCCCATAGCTGCCCCACACCCGCCCCACACCCACCCCATAACCACCCCATACCCCCCCATAACCACCCCATAGCTGCCCCATACCCCCCCATAGCTGTCCCATAACTGCCCCATATCCACCCCATACCCCCCCATAACCGCCCCATATCCACCCCACAACCCCCCCATAACCCCCCCATAACCACCCCATACCCCCCCATAACCACCCCATACCCACCCCATAGGATCCCCATAGCTGCCCCACAGCCGCCCCATAGCTGCCCCATAGCCGCCCCATAGACGTCGCATAGCCGTCC